ATACGTATATGTTACATATTTGTTAGTCGAAAATGTAAAGAACGAAAAGACGACTAACTCCATCCATTGACAACCACGTCAACTAACCATTTGTAAATTTCTATCGTGCATCGGTAAAACAGAAGGATGAAAATAATGATTTTTCGACGCGTTTTTTTGGCACAGAAACAAAATCGAGATACCCCCCGAATGATTTTCTGTAGTTATTACAATCATTCAAATTTCTTCGTCACATATGTGTTTAATTTACAAGCTGAAAAAAATGCATACAATTTCAAGTTCAGACGTCGAACTATTCGTCGTCCTTTGTCGTCGCATTTAATGAGTTTTCTGAAACTCATTAAAAATTAAAAAAATTGTTTGTAATGTCAGTGTAATGGCGCAGCGCGGAGCTGACGTGTTACAGGTGGATAACGAACGAGTATATACGCAATGCTGCAGAGTGCAGGGAAACAGCTGCAGCCCTCCCGATCAATACGTACTTTCTATACGTACTCGCCACTCGTTTCGCATGCTCCGATATTTTAAACTTCGAATAATAGATTCGTAATGCAATTCCATCGAAATAACTGCTCGATGAAGAATACCAGAAGAATTCTGCCTTCAACAACGTCAATGCATATGCATGACTAACCGCGCACAAATGTACAAATGTAATCTCGTATTCACGCTCTAAAGTCTAGTCTAAACATTATTCATCTCTTCTGCTTCAAAACTTACAAGAATTTCTACTTTAAAAATTAATTATTACAGAAGCACAAGTACTAATCGGTTATCTGGTTATTAATAGTTAATGATTCAAATATTATCGTGTTATATCGTAGAAAATAGTGATTAGAGAGAAAGAATTTCATATCTGGCTTAAAAAATCAATAAACTCGATAAATGAACTCAATTCTTTCAACTTCGAAAATTGTAGGACATTATAAAACTGAAAAATAGATCGTGATACACGTTGTAAGTATACAAGTTTCATCAAGACTATCTATAACCACGATACATACTCAATCAATTGCGTATTTTATTTTGCACACATATGTTTCTTTATCATTGTCAACACGTAGACAGTTTTCATCTTTGATAACCTTAATTAAATACTTACGATAAATTAGATACATGTTAACTATTATTTTAATTATTACACGTTAATTAGATACTTTTGTTATCTTTTGATTCATTATGTCAATTAATCTATTCTGTCGTGTTCTTTAGTTATCTTTTAATTATTCTTTCAAATGTGACATTTTGATATGATAAATAAAATATAAAGTTATTACAGTTATATAATACTGTCTTAAGTTTGACTGTTTCTCAAATCAATCAAATCAAATCAATATTCACAAATTAATCAATATAATAGATTATATAGTTTCTCATTAATCAATATAAAATAACTATACATTTCATATTTTAACTAGATATTTTACAAATTATTTTTATTGTATATCTCAATTCTTGCTGGACGTATACGGAGTGAACTAAAGTCCAGTAATACAAGTGAGAAGGAGGTGATTCTATGTCTCAAAATAAATCGAAAGAGCATTGATTTCAAACTTTAAAAAAACAATAATGTAATTAATTTTTAAAGTCAATTTTCTCTTAAACAAAATTCAAAATAAAAACAATTTATTTCGTTACTTTAACTTATTTCGGAATGCAAAATCATTAGTTGCTCAATTACATTACAAATTCAAAAAATTCTACTCATTAGCAAAAATCTTGTGTAACTATTGTGAAGTTGGGTAAAGTTTAAATAATGTATGTTACAATAATGTATGATAAATGAGTATTGTGGAAACCAAAACAAATGTCAAAAATGTCAATATCGATAAATACATCAAGACCGAGTGTGGCAAACACAAGATTACCAAACGCATCAAATTTACATTGTACACTTATACACTTGTAGCATGATAATGACGATATTTTTCAAAGATAAAGGACAAATGTGTCGCGTGGTATCTTGGATACGAGATTATATATATACGATTTACGTATGTGGTTCACAGGTGTACAAGTATAGTCGAGTGATCGAACTATAACCAGTTTTTACTCGACTACGGACGGTAGTGTTTTGAAGCATTTTACCATTGTTTCGTGATATCTTTTTGTTTCCCGATATTTTGGACGAAAGTGAGGTGTATCAATCGCATTGAAGATTATTATGACACATATTGCTTGCAATTGAATCGACGATCAAATTAACCAGATGCAGCGCTTGATGAAAAATTAAAAAGGTATACAAAAGGTCCGAATTTGACGAATTCAGCATTGTGTTCCATTACGACAATGCTATATATCTTTAAATTCCTGATCAAATTTTCAAAAATCCAGTTCCTAAAACAATTTTCTTACAAAAATATTTAATACTCAGTCAATTAGTCAATAATATTGATATGAGAAATATATTAGCACATATTTATAAAATTACTCAGCAAGTTTTTTCAAAAGTTATCTTCGAAATCTTGGTCTCCTAAAATTCAAGATCTATATTTTAACACATTACGGACAGATGATAAAATATATCGCGTTTCGTATTCTATTTTACGTAAAAATTCATAATTAATATGTATTTTGAAATATATGTAATTTTTTAATATTTATTAAAATAAAATATTTAACATGACAATTATTTTTAACTACTAACAAACCACAAGTAACTTAAAAATATTTGACAAACCAAAAAATAACTGTCTACTGGGAATGATTAGCAAGAAATTGTCTGCTCCGCAATGTATTAAATGCGTAAAGTAAGCGAGCAGTGTAACAATAGAATATTTTATAAGATTGTAAAAGGAACTCTATGGTTTTGAGAGAGAAAATAAAAGTGCAATTAAAATACAGAAAAATTTTACACCAAATAGTTTTAACACTTTGACTGCCAAGCTAATTTTGCGCACGCGAACGTTGTTTAAAAAAACAGCAGAAAAAAGTTATCAGAACCAAGCGTGGATGTCTCGGAACACAAAAAATATTACAAAATTACGTTCAATTTCTACCTATTTCTAACAAAAAAAAGGTAAGATTAACTGAAATTAATAAAATTTATATACGGTAGTTATAAACGGACGAATTGGGGCGGATTCATCATAATAATATAATTTGTTAACAAACGTTTTATTGTCTCTATTCAATATTCTATTATAAACATTTAATAAAGCTATTCCTAATAAATCGAGTCATTAAAACCGTCATCCATTTAAGGATAATGAGAACTCTTGCAAAAGTATGCATCAGTCAAGCTTACATGACGTGGCAGTTAAAGTGATAAAAAAGTCAAGAATACATGTTATAAGACCCGATATAAAAATAAATTATACATATTTAATTTTTTATTTCAAACATTTGATTAAACTTTATCAGTTCTATTTTCGTTTCAAAAACAGCATTGCGACGCAAAAAAGAGATTTCTCCGTTTATAGACCCAGTACATCCAAAGAATTATATAAAAGTTCCTATTAAAATGTTATAAAATATTTTGATATTATTTTGAAACACTGTATGTTTTTGCAATATCATAAGTTTCGAGGTTTCTAACGCTCAATAGGGAAGGTAGGGAGAATACATGACCGGTACGACGTGTGAATCATGTATAAAAATACTCATTCACCGAGCCAGTACGCAGGAGCCAATACATACAGTTTGTGTAAATGTGTGCATAGCTGTGCTACACATAACAGTCGATGACGAATATCACGTATTGTGAAATTACATCAGTAGAAAAACCATATGTATTTGCTTTGCTGATAAAATTTAAGCAAACTTGAAAGAAGTCATGCATAAAGCTCAAATATCGCTTTTAATTAATTTGTCTTAATTAACATAAAAACACCAATTACATTTACACCTTTTTAAATATCATTAAATATCATTAAATATCACAAAAATAAAATATCAAAAAAAAGTTAAGAAATGCTTGTTGTAATTTTTATTCATAATATTATATATATATATTTATATAAATGTTAAGTTTTAAATCAAAATCCGAGAAATAAAGTCTACTTGAAATTATCTAAAAAATACAATCATTAATCATTTTCTCTCTTAAATATTTTAGTTTGTTGTGAACAGCTTGTTTTCATTATTAGTTAGATAAAAATTATAGACTTATCAATATTTTACATTTTATCAATGTTTGAAAGAAAATCAATTTTAAATAAACTAAAGCATTCGTAAAAAGCACCCTACATATGTGTATTCCGTAAAACTCTTCCAAGTATCATAGATCAGAATAAAACGATATAAATTCACAGAGATTTAAATTTACGTCCAAGAATGAAATATGTTTCTTGTATTTAAACAGTTTTTAGAATAAATTTATTTTAGAAATATTTTTGCAGAAAATTGTTTAGTTTCGATTAAAATTAAATTTATATTTGAAAATTCTCATGTTTAAAAAAACAAACTAAAGACCGTGAAAACTGTTATCGATTAATTTCTTATTTGTTCCTCCTTTTTTTCATATACAACACTTCGTCATTCATTAAATTAGATTGCGAGTGTTTTGTTTATATTAGATAATGTATCGCTAAATATAAAGTACGCGACCCTCTGTGTAATGTGACATTTCTCAGTTATCACTAGACACGCAACAGACACATGGGGGAACCGAAAAGTGTCATGCGGATCAATATAATACGTACAGCGAAAGATGATCTCAACCTATGATGTCAACTCTAACGCGAAATGATACGGCTTTTAAATAAGATATGCAATAATATTGCAATCTCTTGTCACATACGTTCTCATTGTATTATAAATGAGAGATAATTAACATTTTAAGAACTTAAAAAATTAGTACATTATTATTACAATGATTATCACATCATAAAAGGATGTAAAGAATATAAATGATGTCAAACATCATTAAGAAACGTAAATAAGTTTCGGTTTACTACCAGAATTACTCACGATTGTTATCATTGATGATATCAGTGCAGATCTTTAATTACTTCTCGCAACAGCTGAAGCTCAAAGTTAGCGCCGTTGCCATAAATTTTCTGCGCGTCGGCGCCGTACGCGGAATGCATCATTCTTTAGTCGTTAAGTAGAGCGTAGGATTATATAAAGAAGAAAAAAATACGCAGGTTACACGATTATAGCTATTTTTATTCAGGATCGCGCATACAACGTACGAAAGATAGCTGAGCAAGTATCACGTCGATGGCATACCGTAACCAAGCGGAAGCGCTTCCAAGCATGGTCGAGTTCGTGCGTCGTTACTAAATTAATTAGCGTATTCTCGTCACTTAAAAAATCAAAATTTTTGGCCCACAAGCGTCAGGCTCGGATTAATCAATCGTACGAAATTTTATTCAGATATTTGTGTAATAATGTCGTTATCTTTTTCGATTTTGTCAAATTTGTGTTGTTCAAATTATCTGAAGCACAATTTCATATTTTCTCTTAATTTTAAATTTTTAGTAATATTCGGAGATTATATTATAATTAATGTTTTTTTAGAAGCTAATGATTAAAAGAGATTCAATATGTGAAAATTGATTCAAATTAAATAGAAATTCGCAGGTTAATTACAGCATTTCTTCACATTTTACTATTGAGAGCATGAAACGTTCCATATCTATCAATTCAAATTTGTTCTATCTTTATATAACTTCATTAAAATATATAAATGATGTAAACAATTTCATATTCTGATCATTGTTTCAATAAAGTTAAATGTTGTACATTCGAAAAAATTAGTTTTTACCGAAAAACAAAAGCTCTCATTCTACATTTTTCATTAAAAATGGATAAATGAAATATGTCGGAAAATTTCATTGAATAACTGCTTTTTTTTCGTAACCTTTGTCGATGAAAATATATGAAACGTTTAAATTCAAGCTCGCGAAAAGTAAAAAAAATGCGTATGAGACAAGCTGATGTTCACGGTCAGTGACAGATTATCTCAACATCACTCACGCAACTTGGCGATAATTCATGCTTCGAAATTAGAGAATGTGAAGAATATTTTTGCACTCACCTAATCCCATGTCTTTAAATATCTCCTTCGGCGCAATCTCAATTTCCTGCTTCTTCTTGCCAACCGGACGAGGGCAGATGTAATCGGGTTCTTTGGGTTTCGGTGCTTCGCGCCGTTTGACACTCCCGGAATCGACGCTCCGCTGAGGCGGTGACGGTTTATCCTTGACAGTTTCCGCGACTAGGAAATCGTGCGACATCTCGTACTTGTCCTGGCGCGCACTCTCCAGGAGCTCCGCCTCCTTGGGCAAGGGGGGTAGTGGTTTCATCGGTGGCTCGAGTTCCTTCGCCTGCTCCCGCTTCACGTCCGTTTTCTCCACGACGTTCCACGAATCATCGTCCATAATGTTTTTAGTCTTGTCTTCCTTCGGCGGCACGATGTCATCCCCGAGGAAGTCCAGCACCGGCGATTTCTCCGCTGTCGGCAGCACCGACGATTTCACGCTCGGCAAAAAGTCGTCGATATTGGTACTGCTCGGCGGTGCGGTTTCGTGCCACTTTCCTTGATCGAAACCGAATGTCGGGTCTTCGCGTTCCTCAATCGATTGAACCTTGCTGTCGGCCTTGTTCTCGTCATCGGTGCTTTTCGCCGGCGACGAAAATAGAAAGTCATTGTCATCGTTGACGGTGGAAGCGATCGAGGTCGGCAACAGCGGCGGCTGAAGATTAATCTCGTCGTCATCATCGTCGCGAAACTGGCGCGCGGGGGAGGCCCGCTCGGTTTCGACGAACGCCATGCTGGCGAGCTTGGGATCGACCGGGTCCAGCGGCCGCTGGAACGGATCCGACGACTGCGCCATAGACTCGCACTTGTCGAACTCCGCGGAAGGCGGCAGCGTCGCGGGCACGGATTTCGTTTCGACGTCGCCGACGTCGGCGATGAGCGCGCTCGGCAGCAGCTCGGAGTCCGACGCCCGGAAGGAGTCGCCGATATGCAGCAGGTCGTCGACACGTGGCGCGTCTATCAGTCGCGGCTGTTGTTGATGTTGTTGTTCCGCGCGATCGTCCGGGGAGCTGTCGTGGCAGAGATGTTCGAAATCGTCGACCGAGTCGTGGTCCCTCTTGAACGGTATGTCGCCAGGCGCGTCCTGGATCCGCGAGTCCATCCTCAGCACCGAGATGATGGCGATCCCCTGCTCTTCGCGGCTAACGATGACTCACCGATCGGACAAGCTCGCTGATAGCGGTTATAGCTTCGATCCTGCACGACGTTGGTTGCGCGAAATGTTGCGCGATGTCTCCCTACTCTCATAAAAGCCAGGTTCTAGGAGCGGTACTACTCCCACCTGCTGCCACTGTCGCTGCTGCCGGCGGCTCCTCAGTGGGGTACATCCGACGTCCTTGCCGTCCTGACTCACCACCTCGTTTTTGGACACTCGTTATTAACCTCGCCGCGTCGCGTCTCACGCTCTCGCTATGGCCTGCTTTCGTCGACTCGGGAGATACGCGCGATCACCCGTAAATGTCAACCGCTTCTCATGTGTTGTCGGCCGTGTCGATCAGCTGACGGACGAGTAGAACACGACTCGCGACCACTGACTAGAACTTGCGATGGCAGACTAGTAGCGGAGAGAAAATCTTACCACGGTTATGGACAACGGTTATAAAGCGCCAACCGGTACAGCCAAGTTAGTATTCGCGATCGACGGGTGGATTCGGCTGCGAGACACGCTCCCCCATTGCGAAGGGGTTGCCCTCTCCTATCGCGTTCAGCAACACAGAGACCAATCACGTGATCGCTGTCGCCCCCACTCGTTTATTATATCGAAACGAGTAACAGCCGTTGCGTCCGATTGTTACCGGTTGTCCCGCTAAACAGCCGGCCGGCCGGCTGATCGGTACTATTATTTTTTATATCGATCATTTTCGATCACTTTCACTCTGTGCTCCGAAATTTTGAAATTCGATATTTTATTTGTTAGAAGCTCTTTCGATAACTCGCAGAAAAATAATCTGTCGCTTATTTTTTATCTATATCTTTATTTTGGTATATCTTTGAATTGATTAAAAATTTACATTATTATTTTATGGATCTAATTGTTTGGAATTGTATTTTTCATGTTTTCTTCTATAGAAAAAATCAACTTTAGTTTACTTTAGAAAACCGCTTTTAAAAGGAATTTTGTATTATTTCAAATACAGAAAATGTAATGTAATGTACATCTTTCGATTCTTATTATTCGAAATATTTATATCCTGAGGTTATCAGTTTCGATAGGATTTGCTATATGTATACTTTGTAATTCTTCCCCGGCCTTTTTCTTTAACATGTAAAAATACTAGTGTCCTACTTTTGTCGCATTATTTATTAACAAATATTCCTTTGGGCAATTTAAAGTCAATATTTTCTTAACAAAAAAAAAATAGATATTTCTAGCATTATGTATCCTCGTTATTTCTAATAAAAAGTTAATTAAACTGAAAAAATAGAGTTTTTTTCTATTCAACTTTAAAGCTCAATTCATGAAGTTTACGATTTCAGTAATGAATTCAAGCAGAATATTATTGTAAAATTGACCCATCACCAGATATTGACGTAAATGTGGAGGATAAAACCTGTGAGCGCGCAAAAGAAGGTTAAATCATCTGACCTGTTTTCAAATAGGATTCTGCCCAGCGGGCGAGACAAGGAAGAAAACAGTCGACGTAACGCGTCGCTCTTAGGTGCGGTGCAACATAGTGCAGTACGTTCGAGGCCTGCGTAAAGGCACATCGGCCGGTGCATCGCAGGGCGTCGCAAAACGACGCAAAGCAGCTTAGGAAAGGAACTTATCTCGGTTATACCCGCGCAGGCGCCGATCAGCAACGCGTATTACTACAACCGGACGTACGACGGTGGTGTGAGTAGCGAGTGGTGAGTGGTAGCGACAAGTACGACGACGCATCGCGACGTCTACCGCCCGTACCGTCATCCGTGGCTTTCGATGCGAATTGAGCGCGAAATTATCGTCAGGTAAAATCAGCGGACAACAGAGTGTGCAAATGAACGGATCGACGATGGCGACGACGACAACGAGGTTGCGCGCTACGGACACGTGTAGCGAGGAAGCGCCAAGAGCACTTGAGGGAAGGCCGATAAAACCGTCATTGCGGAACGGTTTAACCTCTCACGGCGCCGAAGAAGCCGGTAAAATCAACGGCTACACGCTGACCAGCAATGGACACGTACGCGATGTAAGTAGCAACGTAACGTACCGGTGAGAGCGCCGTTACGCGCCCTTTGTCGATCACCCGAGCTGCGATAACTCGTGCGATTGCTTGGTTTTTTTTCACTCGTCTTGTCCTACGTTGCCTATCAATCCCGTCCCATCCTTCAGTCACTCGCGAATCACATGGTGAGGATTTATTATTGTTGAATGCACGATCATACGACACTGTATTCTCACAATCTTCTCTTCTTCGTAATATACACTTTCAACTGTTCTTGAAGCTTACAGTGTGCTTCAGAAATAGCATTCATACAATAAAAACGGGATTTGCATGCGAAAATTTACACACAATAAAGACGTTAACTGCAAAATTCCAAACAGTATTGTTAATTAGATTGATTTCACAGAATTCGTCGAATTTGTTACATAAAATTATAAATTGAATTACAAGCGATACAAATAATTTTTATTTGTTATGTATTTTATCAATCGAAACAATATCTCATCAAGTTGCACGAGATGAACCATGCATTTATGCGTGGCTCGTCCAGTTAAGAGTATCTTCCAATTAAATTATCATATCTCGAGTCACACTACTTAAATGCCTGGACCGATAAAGTTCTTAATAAGCTTGATCGATGATAATAGGCTTGATCGTGATAGCACAGATTCCGAAGAAATTTGTCTTCTTTTTTGCTTTGTATATATAAGAAGTGATATTAGAATGTAAAACACCAATCGGCAAACTCATGTTTAAGAAAATCAATCGTCTTTAAAAAAAACTTCAAATTAGTAACTTTAATATTATAATGATAATGTATTTCCAAGAAATATCATATAATAAAAATTTTTTTTGCGTATTTAAAATAAATATTTTCATAAAATCCAAATTTTAAGAATTGTTTAGGTTAAAAAAGTGATTATGTCATTGTCTGAAAAGATGGAAACAAATCGCAAATATTTAAACTTAAACATGCAAATTAAATTAACTTATGTTTTAATCATTAAAACAGATAAAATTTTAAAACTTTATGTTGAATTAAAATACTTTTTTATTCTTTGAAATTGCTATTTCGAATTAACTTTTGTTAGTGTAAAATAAATAATTTTAACTATTATCTAATTTTACTTCAATATTCCATCTGTTGATAGAATACATATACTTAAGTCGTCAATCAATCATAATTAGATTAAATAACGCATTTAAATTGCAATTTCGCATGAAAGATAGTACTTCTCAATATTAATTGATTGTTGATATCAGTTATTTCCGAATAGATATATATAAGCATTATTAAATTTTAATTGAGCGAGAATATTCATGATTAAATATTTTATAGTACCTTATATACATTCTCTTTTTGTCTCCTTTTCACCTCTTTAAATAAAAGTATAAAATCGTATAATTTACGACCAATTTATACTGCAAATTATAACTCCATACATTATTCATTAGTGTGATAAAACTTAGCATACTAATTTTCACATTTATAAAAGTTCGAATATATTAAAACTTCATACGAACGTCTATAATGCCGATTCGCTGATAAGTACGCAACATTATTTCTATATTGCGTTGCTAAAACATTGTTAAAAATATATTATTGAGCAATGCAAATAGTGCACGTGCTGCTTCTTTAAGTGCAATAGTACTTTTAGTTACTGCCTCGAGATTTCGTTCGTTCATCCGTGAGATATTCTAAATCGGCAATGAGTAATTCATGTGCGGAAATCGTTATCAGTGTCGTAATCAATTTTAGAGATTATGATAAGGGTTCTCAAATCGCAATACCTGAAGCGACTAATACAAGATAATAAAACATACACCGTCTATTTTGTTCCAGTGCAATTAAATTGGTGATACGTGAAAAAAAACGCATGAAATTTTTAAGAAGTCACATGTGTTCAAACAGATTTTGCAATATCTTACAAATAAATTGTACCTTGTAATGCTTAGATAAGTACATAAGTACTCGTACACTTTTTAACGATAAGCCGCAAGATGTCCGGTAAAACTGCATATGTTCTTAAAAAATTAAATGATAAACAGAACGAAATGTAATTAACATATCCGAATGTAGTTCATAATTTCACTTTACGAATCTTTTTCTTATCGTATCGCAGTGCAGCCTAGTTTTTCTATTGCGTCTTACTTAAATATTCAGCTACATGAGTAGCTGAAGCGATAAATGAGAACAAAAGCGTGATACAATCGAAAAAAAGAAATTAATATTTCTAGGAAAAAGAAATAAACATTTCCACTGTATGTGGAAAAAACGGAAAAGAAACTCGGTATCGTTTGAGCACCATTTGAAGCTGCGCTGGCATAATTGTAATTGAGAAGTCGAGCATATCTAGCAGTTTCAAGCTGGCAAAGTGAAACGTGAAACTATAACACTTTTATATGTGCAAAAATTGTATTTTTGAAAATCAATCGTAGAATTATCAGACTCGTTATTTTTATCAAGCAAACTTTTTCTAGACAATACAAAAAATTCCGATGTGTCAGATCTACCGAATGACTTGTAGAAAAAATCGAAGTAAATCATCGTTTATTGCACTTTGCTAATTTCCAGTACTGCGTATTTTTACAATCAAGCTTCATATTAAAATTCCATCAAAAGTAAAATAAGCATAGTTCGCTAAAAATCCTTATTTCCAATTGCTTATGTAAAATCTAGAAATGTTTTGACGTTTTTTTTTTAAGAAGAATCGATTCTGAATGGCCCAAGAAATTTGTAAAATATACGAATTTTTTTTGTGCGTTATGTACGTATATGAAATTATATTATTTTATATATAACCTTAAGAAAACCTTTCTGATAGGAATAAAGGAAAATATCGATTAAAGCATTGTAATATCCTCTGAAAAATCATGCAACCTTTAAAGAAGGTTGAATTGTTTGAGGGAGAAAGTAGGCCAGTGACACGTTTTAACGATAAGCCGCAAGATGTCTGGTAAAACTGCATATGTTCTTAAAAAATAAAATGATAAACACGACGAAGTGTAATTAAGATATCTGAATATAATTCATAATTTCGTATTACGAATCTTTTTCTTATCGTATCGCAGTACAAACCAGTTCTTTTATTGCGTCTTACTTAATCGTATTTTTGTGTATTTTTTTTCATCTTCTTTATTGTATGTAAAGTATTGAAAATAAAAGAATTTGTTTCATAACATTTTTTTGTCGCATTATACGTAACAAGCGCATTTCCTAAAGAATGAAATTACTTCATTACTTATAGAACAAAACAAAATCATATGGGTTTTTTTATGGGGATACACAATTTAATGTATAAATTTATTTCAGTCTTCCCGCAATCCAACTAAACAAAAAAAAGAAGTTAAAAAAGCACTGCGGTCAAAGGAGTCCTTTGAAAAGGTTTCGTTCATCACAGCGGCGCTTACACACCTTGGTTTCTACATTCTCATGTTCCTGGGATTTATTAATCAGTTATTGTTTGTTCCAAAGGGTGCCACCGAGAAGAATAGAAAGGTAAGGTGACGATTATTTATATTTCATGAAATATTAATACATTTATAGTATATACTTAATGAAAGTAAAAAGAATACCACAAATCTAAAAATAAAGATCTATGATCTTCTCTCAAAGTCAATATCATTTATAATATATTAAAGAATTTTTATAAATGTCATAAAAAATAAAAATGTTATATGCTATTAATATATTTAAAAAAATCAAAATAAAAATGATATTCGTTTTGTTCTGTAGAAAATAATTTTGTTACATTAAATTAATATTTTTCTTTTATTTTAATAATTTTTGTTTTTGTCTGCCACAAACACATTTTCCTATGTAACGTTATTATTATGCTATATAGGAAAATTAATTTTTTATTTTTTGTAACATTTATAATTTTCGCATTAATTTTCTGTGCATTTCATGATTTTTTGCATAATGTTTAAACGCTACGCCATATTAAATATGTATTTTTAGGGATATGCTCCACTCTATGACAATTTCGAGAAATTTTATCTTAGATACGTCTATAGGAGAGTCAGAGATTGTTGGAATAGGCCAATATGCTCCGTTCCCGGTGCAACGTTAATATTAAAGGATCGAGTTACTAAAGACTATGGATGGACGTTTCAGTAAGTTTCACCACGTACGAGAATATGACATTGACATATCAATAGATTTGAAAAATCCCGATATTTTAATTCTGACAGATTTACTGGAACTGAAACGCCATGTATAAACTTGGGCTCTTACAATTATTTAGGATTCGCCGAGGCGAGTAGTAAGTGCGCTAACGACAGCATCGAAACGCTCAGGAAGTTTGGCTGTGCCAGTTGTAGTACACGTCTTGAATTAGGTAAATACCTAGTGGGATCCGGCTGTAACTTGAGAGATCCTGTAGTTATTATTTTTTTAATTTTATACTATAACTTGTAGAGTATCCTTTGAAATTTTTTATACTAAAATTTACCAATATTTAAAACATTCCAACTGTGAGAGAGTATAAAATGAAAATTTTGTTTTCAACACTTTGACGGGCGCATGCAAATACTCTTGCCTGTTGTTAGCATCTCATTTAGAAGTCATCGATAGCTGCTGGTTAGTAAAGTCACGTATACGTGATAGCGGCTATCAAAATGTTAAGGCAGTTTATCCAGTAGCAATCTACTTGGAATGGTGAAATATGCAGTGTTCGTTAAAACAATGCGACACCTTCAAAGTTCAAAAGGCAGTTACGCACTTTTACATCGAGTTATAGTATTGAAAATTGACTGTTCAAAAATTTATACTGTTTTTCTTGTACAATAATTTGGTAATAATGATGTACCGCAATTCATCAAAAATGTTTTAAATCAAAACTGTATTATGAAGAAAGAATTGAAGGGATTGTTTTTATCACTAGGAAATATGCCCATACACGATGAATTAGAAGAATTAACTGCGAAATTTCTGGGAGTGGAAGACGCAATAGTGTTTGGAATGGGATTCGCAACGAATGCATTGAATTTGCCTTCTTTGGTCAGCGAAGACTGTTTAGTTCTTAGCGACGAAAAGAATCATGCGTCGCTTATTCTGGGACTGCGATTGTCTGGCGCAGTGATACGGATCTTCAAGCACAATAGTAAGCGATTTGTAATCATTTACAATGTACAATTATCTTTTGTTTCTTCGAGTACAAAGAAGTACATGGTTTATCACAGACGTAAAACACTTGGAAGACTGCTTAAAGAAGGCTATTGTTTATGGTCAACCAAAGTCTGGTAAACCTTGGAAGAAAATAGTTATCATTGTCGAAGGTATTTATTCTATGGAAGGCTCAATTGTCCATCTACCCGAGATAGTGGAATTGAAAAAGAAATATAAAGTTCGTAAGAGTTTTTTTTTTTTTCGATTATTAATTAACGTTTGATATTGTTATGATTAATGTAAATTTTGAACAGGCCTATCTTTATGTGGATGAAGCGCACAGCATAGGTGCCACAGGAAAGCGCGGGAGAGGAGTTTGCGATTATTACGGCATTGATCCGCATGAAATCGATATACTTATGGGAACATTCACGAAAAGCTTCGGCTCGGCGGGTGGATATATAGCCGGAACGAAAGTAATAAGATTCAACGAAAGTTCAATCATCAATGTTTCAACATTGATGTACAATTCTCATAAATCTCTTGTTCAAATATTTATTTCAGGCATTGATAAATTATTTAAGAATACACAGTCACGCACATACATATGCGGTATCCATGTCTCCGCCGGTTACCCAACAAATTATCACGTCGATGCGAATTATCGCAGGCGAAGATGGCACCGATGCTGGTGACAAACGAATCAAACAATTAGCTAGGAATACAAAATACTTTAGACGCAGATTAAATCAAATCGGAGTTATAATCTATGGAAATGATGATTCTCCCGTTGTGCCTATGCTAGTTTATCTATTTTCTAAGATTGGGTAAGTAGAAAAAAAAATATTCTTGAAGCCTATATCAGATTTGTATTTTCAAAAGCTTGCATGACAGTACATTTCAAGACAATCGAAAAAAACTAATAGAAAATATATGTCTGTAAAATAAAAAAAAAATGTTTTTCCAAATGTTCAATACAGTGCAGTGATCCGTACTCTGATAAAGTATAATATTGCAACTGTCGGTGTTGGATTCCCAGCAACACCGTTAATGGAAGGCAGAATTAGATTTTGCCTTTCCGCTGCGCATACAAAGGAACAGTTGGATTATGTAAGTAGTATTACGAAATCGAAAGAATTATATTGTTCTGATGACCATCGTTTTTATTTCAGGTATTGTCGCATATTGAGATGATTGCGGACACGTTAGGATTAAGATACTCGAAGAAACCTCGTACCACTACAAAAATAGAATACTATTCCGACAGCGAAACAGAATGACCTACCTCATAAAATAATGAATTAGGCAATTTTATTTTTATGAGGAGAATCAAGATAGCCAAGAGCTTTAAATGCCACAAAATAGATGTAGATACAATTCGTACATCAATTGAGGAAGCTTTATTACAATTATTACAACAATAAGCTTACGCTTTTATAATAAGAAAATGGAGGGATGCGATGTATTGTATAATCAATAGTCATTTATATGTCTGTGGCACAGTTGTGATGATTCTTATGTGTTGAGCGAGTAAACAAACCAAGTAATATCGGTATTGTCAAATGCCTACGTCAACGAATTATATTGTATATACAATTAATTTTATTGTTTACGAATTCTTACAGTATTCACCTAATTATAAAAACGTTCAGTTCCATGAGAGCGTTACGTTAAAATACATTAAGAGTATTCGAAAGTTACTAAATTTTTTACATCGACTGTTTCTTCGTTAATATCGTATCTCACATTGTGCTATAGCTATTGCTTATCTTGCTCAAATTAACAATAGTTTTATTTTACTTATATCACGCTATATAATACACATCGTGGATAGAACATCTGCCAAAGTAAAGTTCAAATTTAGTAGCGTTCAATGTATTTAATGCATTGTCTAATTCTTTTTACGGTTATGATTATTCCTATCTTTATATAATTGAAAAAATTATATGATTGATAAAGAATTTACTTTTAATTATCAAGAAGAAAGACTTATATAAAAAACTATTGTTATTAATATTTGTTGCATTCACGATTTTAGCAACTTTCTTGTGTTTAATTACAGAGGGGTCGGTTTCATAATATGTTTATAGCAACACTGCTTTTCACTATTAAAAGTAATTTTTTATAAACACAAGTCTATAATTAAAATGTAATATTTTTCTCTGACGAATCAATCGTCTTTGAATAGAATATATGTAGCGTTAATTAGTTGTAAGTAAAGCAATAATTTCTAAGAATTCGTCATTCATATTGTCTTCAACATTCCTTAGCAACAAAATCAGCGGGCAAATTTTTCAGTTTTATATTCGAAAAAAATCTTTACATATCAACACTATTCTATCTCTAAGTAAACGTCTGATTGACGATTATCTTTGAAATAGCTTCTTAATATCTTGGTACTTGATACTATATTTTCTTACGGCAAAATATGCTAATTTTCTTTGATGTACAGATTTTGAACGAGAGTACGTAATACGCGTAACGTTGATGATAAACAATGGAACAATAAAAAATATCTTAAATTATCGCTCCAGTAAATATCTAACGATCATTGTTGGAGTTCTATTTTTATTTGATTATAAACATACTGCCACTATTATGATCTCTTAGTGCTTATGAAGGTACATATGACTGATAGATCAAATGATATTAGAAGATAACATGGGAATTTAAAGTAGAACCAAATCATATTTTAATTATCATGTGACATTTAATAAACAAAAATTTATGATGTGACAATGATTATGAAGAGACAAGAAAAAAAGATGAATGTTAATTGCCATGTGACGTTCTGTTCTTGAAGTTATTTTGTGCGAAATATCTAAAATTTATTGCTTCTTATTAGGATTCAAACGAATTTTATGATGATGAATCATTCAAACAATTTGAAAGATTTAAACCAAGTTTAATTAATCAGATTTCAAACAGTTCGAATCTTTAACTTTTTGAATTGTTCGATTATTAAAAATTCTACTTATTATCATATCAAACATTACGAAGTCATGTTACTTTTATAATATTTTATATGTATGCAAAATCACACCAGATTTTTTTACGATAAAGTTAAAATTAAATTTTGACACGGTAGCATCGATAATATGCAAAATGAGTTTGTTAAACCTCATTAATAAATTTCCATAAATTTCTCTACATAACATTTCTCTACATATTTAAATGCTTATGCAAATACATTAAACATATATCTATATCTTAAAAAAGAAGAAAATTTGATAGACTATTATATCACTACCACTTATATTACCAGCCAATTAGCGACAAATAGTTGAAATATTACTGTAAGTTTTAAAAAGATTCCATTGCTACTTGCAAGTACGGATAATGCAAATGTAGTATAGTTCAAGATTTATATGGAACTCGTTCAAAGTTCAATATATTTATAGTTTATAGCTAACTTAGTTTAAAATTTAAAAATATTTGTGAAATTACAATGTAATGCAAATTATCTGATATGTAAAACAGTATAACAATGTTTAATAAGGCTTCTGGCTTCCTGCCATATCTAATTATGTAGCAATATTAGATTATGACAAAACCAAAAAATAATGAATTTTTTATATTGCATATTGAAAGAAATAAAAATTAATAAATAAATAATTTCTGTAGCATGCATGTTTTCAACAAAATAGAAATATCGAATGTACCATCGAATAGCATGTGAAGAAATTAATTTTGATATTTAATGCAAAAACAAAAATTTGTTTTATTTTTTACTTCTCATATATAATCTAATATGACTGCAGTTAGAGAAGTCAGAAGCCTGAAATTAATACATTCAGCATTAGTTGTTATAGGAGTTAGACACGGGCGAGAATGTGTTAAACAATGTTACAGTTATTTTAAAAATTGCATCAGTTATATGAAAATATTTTTATGTTTTTAATTGAATAATTTAAAATTCTGTGTTAAATGTATCTCGTGTACTGAATTTTTTTGCTAAATGAGGCTATATTATATAAAATACATTAATTGTACATCGGTTTTGTATATTTTGCATCAAAAGCACATGTAATCTAATAGCAATAAGAGAAATTCTTGACAATCGGATAAATCCAAAATGCAGCTGAGATATGAACACTGTCTAATTGTGCGTTTGGCATTAATACGCTTCTCTGATTTTAAGTCGTTCGTACAGTGCCACATTTAATATAAAGATTATGAATCTTGCATGTAAGCAAGTAATATAAAGCTTTTATTCAATATAACTGCATTGGATTTATATATAAGTCAGATAATTATGTATATTTAATGCTAAATATGGTTACACAATATGAAGACAACTTATTATACCAGTTACTTTTTTTCTAACTGCGTTTTCCTACACTTTCTGCATTTCTACCATAAAAGGGCTATTTCAAAAATCCTATTTTTTATAAAATATGGAAACTTATTACTGTAATTATGTCTATTTTGTTAAAAATCCGTTCGTAATCTCCGCGTTAAATTGTATAATAGATTTGTATGTGAAAATGTAAAAAATATCGTATGTGCAATTCAGTTACCATAAGTTGAATCTATTTTCTCGAATAGCACATTTTTAAAGTGCATTAGCATCGCACAAATAAAACTCGCTTTATGAAGCGAAAAGCTATTTTATATTAGGAGACCAAAAAGAAAAAAAAATCTTTTTAAAGCTTAATGCTAGCAATTGTTGAAAAATGGATAAGAAACATTAAGAAATTGTTGACTGTTTTTCAACATTTCTCGACGATTTCGCAGTATAAACATTCCTGATTAATAAGGCTATTTTTGTAATTAGCAAAACGAACGCTTTTGACAAAATATATTATTATTATTACTACAAATGACTGATTTATCAAATCACTTTCCGCAAATCCTTCTACATATTTCAATATACACAAAAATACAGAATTAAAGTAAGTGAATATTTTCTTACTTCTTTTTTTATCCTTATATGTACCTAATTAATTAATTGGGAGTAAAGAAAACAAAAAAATATTCTAAATTCATATACAGAACGATATTTTCATATGTAATATAGTTAAAAATATTGAAATGAATAAATAATTATATATACTAATTATATCGTTTGCTATATAAGCAAATATATCAATATATTTTTGTTGCATTAATAAAATATATATTTAAAATCGTATTTTGACAATTTGTACTTTATTGCAAAAACATAAAATAATAAAATTTATTATTAGAATTTATTATTAGAATATTTGAACGAAATCTGAAATTTTATAATGTTATGATGAATCAAAAGTAATTTTGTATTATTTATTTAGAAAAATGTCAATCGCTGATGAATGTGTAATTATCAAAGTACGATTTTAACAATTCTATGGAATGAATTCACTCACCGATCGTTGTACCTTAACTAAATACGCTCTACAGCTGTACCTGGAAAATTTAACATATATTTTAATTATATCTTATTTAATAAATATTTTAAATAATTTTAACGCGTGTTAAATATAAATTTTAATAAATAACAATAGTTACATGTGTATTATTGTAATAAAATTTGTTTTAAAATAATGAAATCATAGAAAAGCTTACCAGCTAAGGTATTGTAGTTTGCTGCGCTGCAGATTTTGCCTCAGACTACTTCGTATCAGTTCCATCGAAAAATCCATAAATTCATGCACTTATTGTTGGTTACACACACTGTCGAATAAAAATCCGCGCACTGCACTTTTCACAATTTTAAGTAGTGAATATGTCGCGTCACACTGCACAAAATTCGAGATAAAATAAACTACGTCATAAGCGTCCGCGATCATAATTTATTGTTAATTTCAGAAAACGTAACAGTTATGTTACGTAGTTGTGTGTGTTTGTACGACTTAATTACGATAAACTAAATTTTCAACATACTACACCTAATAAAACGTACGCTGCGTTCGCTACTCTTGAGCGAATATAAGAATTATTTTCGCATGTTTATCGTATTAGAGACTATGATCAGAGACTGCGTTTGCACTGGATTTGCATTGAATGCATACCGATACCGAATTGAGCGATGCTGAATGCCGACTACGATCGACAAAACACCATTAATTGTGAACACTCGTGGTAACAGTCCAATACATTTCAGTAATCGCCCGTTACTTTAATCGACACTCCCGACAAAAACTCATTATACACTTTTAACGGATAAAATACGCGATTATTCGCGGAGCGTTCGCGCTCTGCGTTCCGAACCGTTGCACGTAGAGACACCACAGTGAGAAGTGAGATACTGTCATGGCGGTCAAAAGGACGACGCGCGCAATGCCGAAATATTTTGACGATTTCGCCCAAATGCTTCATGTACGAATATGCGATCGGCCTTATTACTGCGCGTGAACTTAGCGCAAAAATTAAATTTTTTTATTAAGAACGTTGAATAAAACATCTAGAATTACCATGTCTTGTTGAAAGATGCGCAACAAGTTTCTGATTCTCATTACAATATCGCGACCGTTTTGTACTATTTCAAGATCAGAAAACATGATCATATCCATAAAATAAAATACTCTCGTTATTACCTGAATCATATTGTACTCAACATCGTCTGGAAGCTTTAATTATTATACAAATTATAATGAAAATCGGAACGTTAAAATTCATGGCATACTCTACGTGCGTTTGGAGAATAACTGTATTGTTTTACCTGAATTGGATAGAATAGTGCGCGAGAATCGCAATTGGTTTTTCTATACACCGCCACTTTCAAATGATCTATATTTATACGTAAAAGATTTAATTCTGTAATACAATCTTATGTAAATTTATTATATAAATAAATTACATACATGAATTACATACATAAATGTAATAATTAAAATAATTTTAATTTAATTATTATATTTAATTGTAATAATTAATTTAAATTATAATTTTATTTTAAAATAAAGCACGTGAAGAAGGAAGTGCAAAAAAAAAGAAAAACTGCGAAGTGTTCTCTGAGAAGCAATCATATAAAATTATATAGTTCAATGGTCTTATCAACTGATTATAATCATAAAGAATAAATATTATGTGGCAAATTTAAATGTGTATTTCTTCAATATGGTTGTATCGTCTAGTTAATATAAAATTATAAAATATAAGATTATACTAATTAAATAAAAACTATAGACAATAAGAATATAAAAAGAAAGTAAAATAATCTAGACAATAAACCAAGACATTCTAATATTACATAATTTTTTACTTATGTTGCGTAATTATAATTCTGTAATGAAAAAATAGCATAGAAAGATGAATCAATTAAAATTGAACCTAAAAAATATATAAAATAGCATTGTCTCGATTCTAAAAAGAAAAATATATAAAAGTTTGATTGTATAATCAAACATAGCATAGGTCATTTTTGTAAAACAAATTTGTATTTTGTTGAGCACAGCCATTCAACATCATTTACACGCCTTAAAATATTTTGTTGAGCACAGTCATTCAACATCATTTACACGCCTTAAAATATTTTGTATTCTAGTAAGAATAATACTGTTAGTACAGTTACAATTTTCTGGATAATAGGGGGGCTCTATTGAAAGAGTATCTTCAATCTGTAGGACATTATCCTCTTCTTTAACTGGAAATCGATTATCTTGCAATAATTTCATAACAATATTTTTTCTTGTAGTAATCGTTGCCGGTGAAAATTTTGCAGATATAGATGGAAACAATTCTGGTATGTTTATTTTCTCTTCTGATGTTATTTTCATATTCTGGATGGCATGGTCAAATATTATTTGTAAACGATATTGCGTGGTTTTTCCAGACTGCAAGAGCACAATACTGTAAAATAATATATCGTTATATTGTTTATATAAGTAAGCAAGTTTATACTTGAACAGACAAATAAGTTTTATTTATAAGATTATTGACTAAGTTTAGAACTAAGAGTTAATATTTTATTGTAAAATTTTATGATTACGTTTTTAATTATTAAATAAGAAATTTTAATAATATTTCTAATACCTTCCTGATACCGGATCAACTGTATAAACAATACCACTATGACTACTTTTATCCTTCATCATTATCTTAACCTCTTTTCCGACATAATTAGTAAATAAAATTGGATCATTTTTGTACACTTTATGTGCAAATTTTGAATCCTCTTCTTCCATGCTTATATTAAAACCGTACGACACTGAAAAGTAGTACTATTAGAATTTACATTAATATTTCAATAAAAAGGAATATTTCTCTATTCTCCTTTAAATGCATTGTGACTTCACACTATCACGAACTTGCACGAACTGTCAACTGATAATAGCTTTTTCGCGTAGTTGGGTGGTTGTACATGCATTTAAAAGCAATGTTTGCAAAAAAATGAAAAGTTTTTCGTAAAATCCAGATTGATATTATTCAGTACACTATAGTGGAGTTGTCATCATTGTCATCACACTTGTTTAAATGCGATAAAATCATCTGAAAATCTGATGATTTTACCTAACCTCTACAAAGCAACGCAACAATGGTGATATATGGTGTTTACATCGTGTCAAAGTCTGGTGGTTTAATTTTCAATCACGATCATAATGTTCCAAAAATTGAAGTCGAAAAGTCTTTCAACTTTCCGCTTGATATTAAATTGAATTATGAAAACAAGAAAGTGGTGGTAGCTTTTGGACAAAGAGATGGAATAAATGGTAAGGATATACATAATTCTCATAACACTATAATTCAATTTATATTAGAATATAGAATGAGAAAGAAAAAAAATCCAAGTTTTATAATATTAATCCATAAGTTAAATTGATAAAAATCTATATGTAAAACGTATCAAAGCTTTTAAATTATTTGTAGTGGGTCATGTGTTGTCAGCTGTCAATGGAATTGCAGTCACAGGTCGTGAACTTGAAGATGGAAGAGATGTTTTGGAGATGTTAGAACAATCAGAAAATTTTCCCATAACTTTGAAGTTTAGTCGGGCAAAAATGACAACAAACGAGAAAATATTTTTAGCTTCAATGTTTTACCCACTGTTTGCTATAGCAAGCCAGCTAAGTCCAGAACCGCGATGTTCTGGAATTGAGGTCCTCGAAGCAGATACATTTCGTTTATATTGTTTCCAGACATTGACAGGTATTAAATTTATGATAGTAGCAGAGCCGTCACAATCAGGGATGGAAATCCTATTAAAAAGAGTATATGATCTATATGCTGATTATGCGCTAAAGAATCCATTTTATGCACTGGAAATGCCCATTCGATGTGAATTATTCGAAACTAATTTACAGACATTGCTGGAAACAGTTGAAAAATCTGGGATAAGCAATGTTTAATTTTAATTTGATATACCATAGATTGTTAACAAATTTAATTAAAAAAGAATATATTATATAATGAAGTAGTACTTCTTTTAAATGCCCTTATCCTGTCATGTAAAGTTTACATTTATCAAATAAAATTTTCTTTTTTATATCTTTCATATGAGAAACTTGTTGAGTATTGAATTATGCGATACAAACTGAAGAAAATTCTCATAATAAAAATAAAACTTGCAATATATAAATAGTAGTATTAGAAGCATAAGAGATATATATGAGAGAGATATATGTATATTTCTACTCAATAAAAACATGGATATAAGGTAAATGTACCTTTTACCGAACTGCTCCAATTACCGACCAATTTACTATTTGCGCTAAAAAATAATAGCCGTTAACAGTACGATCGTCAAAATAAATGAGAATATATTGCATGAAGTTTTAAGCAACGAAATCAGTTTTTTTAATTGGAGCAAGTTCGGTAAAAGGTACATTTACCTTAGTATCTCTGCTATTTATAATATATTTCGAAAATTTTTACATTTTATTAACATATATACCGATATTTAAATTGTATATAAACATTTAATAATAATATATAAACATTTTAGATTTTTTCATCTTTAATATAAAAACTATGAATACTTGAAAAATATGAACACTAACGTGACCTTATTAAGAATTACGGCACCATATTCCATTGTTGCTTTAAATTAGGCTCTTTAATCTGCAAAGTAAAAAAAATTATTGTAGTACATGTAAAGTAAATTTTGAAAATGAAATCTCTAAATAAAATGCTTTTTCGGAAATTACTTCATGATTGTTTCTCACAAAATTAAATTTATATTTTGCATTAACATCGTGATACCTTTAGTGTCAAATTATCTATGCAAGCATCACGTATACGTGCAGCAGACGCAGGAGCATCAAGTCTAAAATAATCATGAATGTTCATTTCTAAACGTGCAGCTTTAATTGCTTCCTTGATAGCGAAAAATGTAGATGATGATAAAAATAGTGGTGGTTCGCCGACGGCCTATAAAGATTTCAATAATATCATTAACTTTAATATAATTTTATTGCTATCGTATTTTTTTTTTTATAGTAAACTGTACTCTAATACATAAAACAAAAAATGAAAAAATGAAAAATATGTGAAAAACAGCATCAGGAAAGCTATACCTTAGAAGAATATACTGCTCTGGGATTGGAAGCTCCTTTTAACAGTGAAACATTAAATTCTTGAGGTATGTCGGTGAAACCCGGCAACTTATACGCGCCAGGCCCTCTACTGAATAAAGTTCCCGTTGGTGAGTAAATTATTTCCTCTAATGTGAATAAACCGTATCCTTGAACGAAGGCACCTTCGACTTGCCCTATGTCGATGGCTGGATTTAAACTCTCTCCCAAATCCATAACGATGTCTGTTCGTAAAACCTGTATCGATAACAGATGTTCGTAAAACACGTAAGATACCAGTCTTTTTTTTCTATAATATATTTAGAATCTTTATGAAGATATTTCAAAGTTTAAATCGGATTACAGATTTAATGTCCGGTGTTGCTTATCATTTTTGAAAACTTAATGCCATTAATTTTTATAAACATATAAAAATACAATATATATATGTGTACCTCGTGATCGCCAGTAAGACAATCAATTTCAACCTCCGTAACAGCAACGCCGTACGTAAAATAATTGAACGGGTTTCCCGTATTAGTTTCGAAAGAATATCCGATGTTGGGCGTTTGATAAAAGCCGGTAGCGGATAAGCTTATTCTTTGAGAATATGCTGCCTTTATCCAATCTTCCCAAGTACATTCCGGATTGCTGTCCATTATCGGTTGTAATCGTTTCATAAGTGCTTCGCATGCTTGCTGCGAAAACAACTCTTCTTAGTCCATTTGTGTATAACAAAATATTATTTATAATTACCATAATCGCCATGCCATTGAGATCGGATCCGCAGCTGGCTGCGGTAGCAGATGTATTAGGGACTTTATCGGTTGCGGTTTCGACGATATGTATTTTGTCCGGGTTTACCTTTAGTACTCTGCTAGCAACCTGGCAATATATATTAATTTAATTTAATTCCTCCAATTACTTATTATTTAACTTTAAAAAACTATTGTGATTCTTCAACAATTTTTTGTTGAAGTAAAGTCGATTTTAAAGTCGGATATTCGGATAAATAAAAGGTAGTTCTGGAACGTGCATTATATTTCGCGATAAAAAATACAAATAGATATTCTACATACTTGAATCATTTTTGTATGTAGACCTTGTCCCATCTCAACGCCACTGTGACTAATTAGCACTGAACCGTCGGTATAAATGTGCACTAGTGCGCCCGCTTGATTTAAAACCAATGCAGTGAATGCTATACCGAACTTTGTAGGCACAACTGCGATACCTTTCTTTTTAAATCGATTTTGCCTGCAAGATTTATATCGTTCATTTTAATAATTGTTAATCATCTAGTTTATAATATAAACTACCATATGCTTACTCACCTGTTATAACTCTGAATCTCGATTAGTCTTTCATTATAGTGGGAAGATTCTAGACATTCGCGCCAGCAGCGATCCAGAGTACAATCGACGAGTTGTTGGTTGTAGTGCGTTAAGTCGCCTTCCTTATATAAATTTATTTCGGACAGCTGTCATCAAACAAAATTTTTTTTATTATTAAACCTTAATCTTTATTTGTAACGTATAAATTAGATATATATATACGAATTCTTAATAACATAATTGTTACCTAAAATACCTTTTCTATACGATATTTTGTTGCATAACGATTCTCAAATATTACCTTGACAACATCCAGCTTCAAATAATCAGCGATGTGCCGAATGATATTTTCGGCCACAAACATTCCTTGCGGTCCACCAAACCCTCGAAAAGCTGTGTTTGATGGTAAATTTGTTTTACACATAAATCCGATAACTTCTAACACTGGAATTTTATATGAATTCTCAACGTGGAACATGGCGCGATCCAACACCTGGAAATATGCAAGATTTCACATACATATATTAATATGTAGAATTTTTGATAGACGCCAATTCTACTTTATCACATTGTTACTTACCGATACTGATAAATCATGAGAGTAGCCTGCATTATTGTACACAAATATTTTCGCCACTTTAATGACACCGTCTTTATTAAATCCAACTTCGTATTTGAATAAAAATGGATGCCGTGTTCCACTTATCATCATGTCTTCATCTCTGTCTAGCATGCAACGAACTGGTTTCTGCAATCTATATAAATTTTTTTTACAGATTAATCATACATTTATGTATTGCATAATAACATTCCACAAATTGATCTTCCCTTAAACTTAACTTTAAGATAAAACTTCTCTAAATACTTTTGTTGCATTCTTTTTAAGAAATAATACATTGTATTACATATTGTAAATTAACATATGTTTGCATACTTGTGTGCCGCAAATGCCACTGGTATCGCAAGCAATGCTGCGCGGGATTCTTTCCCACCGAATCCACCGCCTATACGTTTTACACGAACATTAACTCTATTGATGTGTATATTTAAAACGTGAGCGATCAGCTTTTGTATCTCGGAAGGATGTTGCGTGGAACAAAACACTTCCAACTCGTTTTCTTCACGAGGTATAGCAATAGTGGCATTCGTCTCCAAATAAAAGTGTTCTTGCCCGCCTATGCGTGCTTCTCCTTGTAAAACATGATCCGCTTCTGCAAAAGCTTTTTCCACATCACCTTTAACGATACGTCTAGGAAAACCAGGGAAGTATGATTTGTGCTCGATGGCGTCCTATAGAAAAAAATATATATTTCTTATGATATTTTGAATAATGTTTTTTTTTCTTATTGAATACCTCGATAGATATGATAACAGGTTCTATATTTTCGTATTCTACTTCAACCATCTTTGCCGCAGCCTGAGCGATAATTTGATCGGTGGCAACAATGGCGCCAATTATTTGACCTTGGCTGGTAACCTGAAGAAGTAGAAAAAGTATACTTTTAGTATTTTTACGCATATTATCTAAAACTCAAAAAGATTAATGGCTTCAACAAGTACTTTATTTTAGTTTGAGAATGTATACCTTTTCCGATACAAAAACTTCTTCATCGTGAAACACAGGGCCCACCCATCTTCTGTCTTCCGCTATATCTTTTGAAGAGAAAAATGATACAACTCCTTCCTTGGACAGTACCTTGGTAGGATCAATTCTCAAAATTTTTGCATGCGCTCTAGTGGACAAAACTAATGCCAAGTATAATTCTTCTCTAAATTTGGGCATATCGTCGCAATACACTGCTTCTCCTGTTGCTTGCTTGAACGCACTCACGTGCACGATAGGACGTCCTATTAGATCACGCGCTTCTTGATCTTTGGGTATCTATTAAAAATTACGTAAAAATATAAATAAATATTTTACAATTGCTCTCATATTTAAGTAATAATTTGTATTTAAATTAAAGCATTACCACTTGATAATATTGCGAGCTTTTCGGCGCTTTATAATGGAAGCAGTCTGATACGCTGTTTAGTTCGTTTGGCAAGAATTCTATATCCGAAACGCAGGTTGATAACTTTTTATAAATATGCACAAATCCTTTAAAGAATAAACTGTAAAACATAACGTATGTTAACCGTAGCAATTTCACTCATTTACGTCTTAATTATCAACGCAATCTGAATCGCACCTGAGAGTAAGAGATCGGCGATATTTAATCATTCCACCCGGTGCATTGCCCGCTAATGGCAGTTCTTCGAGTAAAGAATCGTAAGCTTCTTCCAAGATCGATTCAGTCCATTTTCTGAAATTGTCAGTCTTACTTAATATCAATGAAACTTAATGCGCAATCAATTACTGACTTACGATGTTACCTTCCAACTATTTTCTGGCATGTCTGTCTTGCTAAGATAGTGGTAGGCGCCATGCCACCGAACGCGATATATGCTTTCTGAATTACATTTGTATTAGGAGTGAAATATACATTTAGGGCCATATTGACTATGGCGATGTCATCGTCCCGCCTCTTTGCTTGCTTGTAGGCAATAAAATATTGATTCTGTGAAAATGTAAAAATGTAAGAATAGTCCTTGGTGTTGCAGAGTCTTTACATTAGTATTTCTACCTCTTTTGTGAAGGGAATCTCAATGGAAACTAATACTTCTTCGGGTAAGACAACGTTACGGCGATATCCAGTAAAGAAGTTGTGATCCATTAGTATTGTTCTACTTCCGTGCTTTGAGCTACATAAATTTAACTTAATATTCGCAGCCATAAAAATGGGGTTTAGATCTGATATCGGGCTGCCAGTCATTATATTGCCACCTACAGCCTAATTATTTGAGAGAGACTTATTAAACGAGTTATAAGCAGCAATCGCAACGATGCATCGAAGAAATGCTCATACTTACAGCAACATTTCTTATCTGCTTTCCAGCAAACCAATGCAGCATGTTTATAATTTCTGTGAAGATCTTTGTGCTGTGCTCTATCGAGAAAATATTACATATTATAGCTATTCATTATAGTTAAGTAAAAATATTACAAAAATTATTAAACGACAATTATATCTTGACATGATAATTACGATTTTAGAGATCTAATACATTACCAGGCTTTATTTTAACATGATGTCTTAATGCTTCCTCAAGATCAGCCAAAGTCACACTTGCACCCACTTTCAATGCCTCTTGTGTCTCGATAATTTCACGCATTTCTCGTATCTGTGTTGGTTGTATAAGTACTGGATATACTAAATTTTTAAATTTTACTTCAACTCCTGTAACATATGAATGATAAATAATTTTATCTTGATAATACGGTTTAAAAAAGAAATATACGAACCAATTTCTGTGTTGCCGATAATAATTTTAGCATTTGGATATCGTTCTTTCAGGGAAAGCAGGGTTTTGAAATTCGTTGGCCTGTACCAACTGACATTTCTTCCTTTCACCACCAAATATTGCTCATCTAGTTTAGATTCAATCTGAAACAAACAATACGCATAATGAAAATTGTAATGTTACTTTTATCAGCCGTATCTTGTATTACTTGACAGACAATCTTTTCCACAGTAACACCTCACCTTTAGTTTTGGTGGGAATATTGGTTCCTGAGTAGGATCATATGGACAGAATTCTTTGGAGTTGAATATCTCTGTTGGCTCCGATGTGAAAGCTCTCAGCTTGCAGCAGGCATTACCCATTGAGCAAGCTCTGCCATCGCTCGTTTCTTCTTTTCCCACATTAGCCATTAATTGTGATTGTTCCCACTCTTCTGTAAAAGTCTTGAATCCCTCTATAATCGGTCTGTATCCTGTGCATCTGCACAGATTACCTGGAAATCATAAATGTGCAATTAATCTTTATCTTCATCAGCCACACAAAGCAACATATTTGTACGTATAAATTATTATGTAAAGCTTTCATTACTTTGCAATAAATGTACCTTGAAATGCAATTTCTAAATTCGTCATCGTTGGTTTTGGTATGCTACGTAACAGTGCGTACATAGACATGACTATACCGGGTGTGCAAAATCCACATTGTGATCCGTGTGCCTTGGCAATGCGTTCCTGCACTGGATGCAACCTGGTTTTTGTGCTACCAATTCCCTCAACGGTGGTTACAGCTAGACCGTGCATAGCACACACGGGTGTTAAGCATGCATTAACAGCTAGGTGACTGTTTTTTTTTTTCAATTTATATAAAATTATATTAAGGAAACATAGTACGGTTTACATCGCTTCACTCTGCGAGATTGATTCGTTTTGTTATTGTAATAAAAAAGATACATAATTTTGCCAGTGGCGCGATCAAATCTTGAAACCATAACTGTGCAGGCTCCACAGCCTCCTTCTGCGCAGCCAAGTTTTGTGCCAGTTAATCCAACTAAATTGTTATAATTAAGGATAAATAAGCCAATGATATTATTTTAATATACAAATGAATTCATAAATACATGAAAGGATACGTTTGTTGCGGAGATACCATAAAAGTGTCCATTCTGGCTCTATATTCTTATCAGATACCTTGATGACATCAAAAAGTATACATTTAAAAATAAATATTTTAATGTAAATATTTTATTATAATAAAAGTAAGTTTGTCGTCATACCAATTTTCCATTCACATAAAACACAAGAGTATTTGATGATAATGTTTCTTGTAGTGCGTCACTTGATAAATCATCTTCACGAAATTTATTATTAACACTGCCATTGCACAGGGAAGTTTCTTTGATTGAGTTTCTTTCCATTTTCAAATTAATACACTCCTGTATTTCTTTCACATGTAATTCACTGCAATATATTAGTATTAATATCTATAGTGCTTTTATGTCACATTAAAGGCATAGAGCGCTATCATATGCGTAAAACAAACACTTGAGCAATCTGATAATTTTATTTCATCAACGCGGAATGCAATTACAACATAATCTTCGTATCATACGACTATGAAAATTACAATAAAAATTGTTGTACCTCAATTTGCGACCGTAAATAACACAGTCACAAACATTACACGTGACAATTACATATAAATTTATTTGTGTGCATATTTTTTGCGATAATAATTTTTCTATTAAATCAATTTTACGTTGTTATTTATATTAATTTACAAAGTCGTTTCACGACAACGGCTCGACTTCGCTACTTCATATCATCTTCCCCCGTGTCGAGTCGGATTACAACTGATTAAGCTGATGACTCCCGAAGAGCCGCGAGTGGTCAGTACATACATGATTATTACTCGGTCAGTTCGTTTCGGTACAAATGGAGCAATATAACAGTACCGAAACATATTCTATTCGAAGAATCAAGTTCAATTATTGCACTATTTGTTAGTCGTACATTGGTTTGTTCTTTATAGCTGAACTGGCTGCACTAGTTCAGAGTTTATCTTTTTCTCTCTACATAAGAAGGAGAAAGATAAACTCTGAACTAGTGCAGCCAGTTCAGCTATAATGAATAGACCCCATGTACCTTGGATTCTGTTCCAATATACACTGTCCGATATACTATTAGCACTGAAATATACGTAACGTCAATTATAAATTTCAGCAAATTACAGTGTGTATCAGAATACGGCCTTGTACGAAAATAGTGTACTAATATACGTCTTATTTTCATTAAGTAATTTGAACGAAAATTTTCTTGTACTTAAAAATTTTTTGAAGCTTTTTATTCATTTATAGCTTAATTATAAACTTATTTTATACAAAATATTTATAAATCTGAAAAATATATATAATGGAATTAAAGAGAATTGAAATCTACGATTTTCCGTGCATTCAACCTTCTTATCTTATTCAAAACATCACGTGATTTGATAAAAGTTAAAGTATAAGATACGCGCAAATCCATAATCGTGATAAATCGATTTATTGCGTTCATTTATCTTCGATTTATTTGCGCTTGGAAAATACTTAACATTTATGACATGTAGAACATATTAACATGTTCGTTTTAAATAATTTTTTAAGTATAGATCAGGCAAAATTAATGATACATCAATCTCTTGTAAAATATATATTTTAGTAAATTAGAAATGAAAATTTGCTTAAGTAAAAAATTTTTACTGTCATCAGAATCTTATTTTAAATTTATTCACCAAGCAGATAATGAGTATTTTAACGGCAAATAATGAGTATTTTATTTAAAATTTTCACTGAGAACAATAAGCTGTGGTACTACGTTGAAAAATACATTCTTGTTATTGGTCATTTGCATATGTTTAAAATGCGTTCAATAATGTAAACAGAATTTAAAGTGGCATGTTAGACATATATGGTATGTAATTCTTATATAACAAATTACCAAAATGTGCACATGTCACGTTTCACAATACATAGCACGTAATAATACGTTTCACAATACATAGCACGTAATACAAATTTTCCAGTATTAAATAACAAAACCGCAAGAAAAAAAATGAGATAGAAAAACTTAAACGCTTGAATTATAATAATATTCATCGAACAAAAAATAAAAAAAAATCTGAGGAGGTCACCATCGCATTCGATAGCATTTGTTGCGACATTGAGCGTCAGAAATGACGAGACAGCAATCAGTACGCAACGTTCCATTAAGATTATCCGTGATTGAATAATACATGGCGCGAATGTGATATATGTGCCAGCACAAGCCGATACTTTTATGTAAAAAAGATTATACGCACCGTTACGTCCTCCACTTTTACGCGATATATCGACACTTCGCTTAGAGCGAAGTTCCTCAATCGACGTCACTGTGCTCGCTACACACTGCAATCTAGTCGAGTGAGACTACAAAAAGAGTCATGAGGGTTATCATCGAATGATATACTATATCTATTGACTGACGTATTTTGTTGATCTGATGATTGTTTAATCTCATGAAGAAACAAGTCAATCTCTAAACATTCTTTTCAAAATATGTTTCTGTTTATTAAGCTATCGAGAATCTTCCTTTTCTTATCGATGAAGTGTTTATTATCGAAGAAAGATCGTACCTACGAAATCAAAATTCTAAGTCGGTAGGAATTTTAACTGTGCGGTAAATGCAGTCTTATTGCATGGGCATCACAACGTTGGAACGCATGACGTTCCAAAACAGCAGCCAGATCGGTGTCATAACAGCGGTGGTAACATTGTAGAGCCAATTGCCGTATATCATGGAATCCATGATACTAAATACGAGCGCTTGCTTATTAGCGCGGTGGCCTCGGAGGAGCAGAGACAGGATTGTGTCGGTAGGGAAGTTGATATAAGTATATACATATACGACAATCGTAGAAACGATGAATGGATGAAGCAAAATCCACGCGATGTACTGAAAGCTGCGGAATCTGCAAAACACAAGGCGAAGTACCGTTAACCGCCGCTGTGATAAAAGTGTTTACGGCAAGATTAACAAAAGCGATGATTTCAATCATGCTCACCTTGACGCGAACTCGTGATGCGGCGTTATGAGCAGTATAACTGGTACATATACGACGGCTGTCAGTAACGCTAATGAGAAATTGTGCATGGCTACGCACATTAACGCAGTGCCTAATTCGATGGACGCGATGATGCAGATGAGCGATATATTTTCGTATCTCATCGACCTAGAAATTATATTTGTGTAATAACATACAATTTAGCAGTGATCTTTTTTCTATCTTACCTCCTCAGATTGAAGCGCCATAAAATCATGAGAACTGTAAGAGCAGCGAAACCGCCATATAATGAGTCCTCTGTGCGCAAGCTGAACATCTGTGACCCGATTAAGGTGAAAAATCGGGGTGAGGCCATTACTAATACGCCAAACATGTGTGCCCATAATATTTCAGAAGCGATACTGCCAATATCGAATTCCTCAATCTGTTCAGAAAGATTAAACCATTGAAGATTGTAATAAAAATGTGTAATCAGCTAAATATAAAACTTCGCTACCTTGTTCGATAAGTTTTGTTCGACGTTGTCCTTTTGCTCGACGTTGTCCTTTTGCTCATTTGTCTCATTTTCTTTGTCTTTTGCATCATTTGAACTACTTGACGCCTGCAATCTTTGCCAAATAGAAAAGGCTTTTATGAATACACTTGCAATTATCAAAACCAAAGGTCGCATATATAATCCTGCAAAATAATTGTTTTTTTTTATTTACAATTTAATTCTAAAAAATATTAAAGATGTTTGAGTTTTATTTCTTGCCTTACCAATAGAGATATATCGATCAGTGGAGGGCAATAGATAGAAGAAATATGATTGATGGAAACGTTCTAATAAATTATTAAGTGATCGCACTATACTTTCGACTACACGTCCTATCTGATAAAAATTTGCTCCTACCTCTTTCCCAGTTCTCTCAAAACCTTCTAATGTAATGGCTTCTATGCCAAATCTAGACAAATTATAGTTAAATGTAAAAGCTGGTAAAAATAGTGTGCTAAATTAAAAATTTTTAAACAGCAATCTAATTTTTAATATTTTTTATTTATAAAGGATTGTTATAATCCTTTATTATGTTAATAAAATTTTATTTCATTAGAATAGATTAATTCAGAGCTGTTTAACTGAACACTCATTTGAGATCACTTGTTATATTTTTCTCTTGTTTAATCGTTTGCGACGTCACAAGCTAAAGAGCTCTAAATTAATTCCATTATCATAAGCTCACTTTTCTTTTATTCATTATACCTGTGGAAGAATCCATGATTACCAGTTGGAACCCCAGTGGCTTGAGTCGCTATCATACTCATTAATGTATTAAAATAATACCACCAGCTTTTAAATTTATTTCTGTAATTGACATCGAATCGACGTTGGAAAGATTGTCGAATTCCTTCTTTGGCTATCATATTTTGTGCTAGATTAAAAAGATCCAGATTGGGCAACTGTCCATTCAAACCTTCTATCTGCAATTATTACATAGAAATATTATAAAGTATCAAATGTAAAATTGATATTTAAAAGATTTGCGCACCTTGACATCAATCGATGTAATTTTCATTGCATGAAATTCTAAATTGATAGCAGCTTGAATAGATCCAGCTCTTCCTGATAAATCTCCTGCTAGCAATATTCCTTCTTGTCCGCTAGTAACACCATGATACGCGTCCAGCCACGCTTGCATGCCCAATTGTTCATGTTCTGTTACAAGAAATATTATATCCTTTGCCCAGTACTTTTGTTCTGTAAATGAATGATCACGGCAATTAAGAAATGTATTTTAATATAGTAAAAGAATCTATTAACAGTTACAGAAAAAGATTTACTTCTGCAAAACTTTGCAAATGCAAGTAATAATGCTATCGAAGGTGCAGTGTCTAAATGAACGCTATTAATTGGCCTATACGGTGCACTGACTACAATAGCCTCAGTGCTAGACGCCCGTGGAGCTCTAACGATGCCATAAATATTTTGTCCTGTAAACTGAAAAATTTTTCACTTATAAATAAAAAATTATTAAACCTTTATTATGTACGCATATAACTGCTACTATACCTTTTGTTCCTGAAATGGATAAACCAAGGAAAAGTTATGGATATGTACATCTAAGTAAAGCTGACTGAATTTAGCTGAGAGCCATGCATAAGGCATACCATCTGGATATCTCTTCATTTCGTGAACTAGTTCATAATAGTATTGCTTTGATATTTGTTCTAGATTACTCTCTTTCGTAACTAATCCAGGTAACAAAGCATTCTCAGAGAAGTAAGTATCTAAAAGTCAAATAAATTCGTTTAAAGAGTAAAATTACACAATTATGTACGTAATTCTGATAACGCCTTTTATTTGCGAGACGTACTATCGTTAAACATTGGTAATGCTAACAGCATTAACCATATAACTCCTTTCACATATAATATAAAACACAACGGTTTCTCCCATTTCAATAACAGTTTTATGATTTTGCCAGTTCCAGCTCTAGGATCGGTAAGTAAACCCATCTTCTTCGTCTCACAGTCGAACACAATTCCGAAATTAAACGTAACCGCTTCGCTTGTCACAACAATGCTGACACATAACCTAGCGAAGATACGATCATAATTTTATTGAACGATTTACGTAAAATGACTTTATTAGTTGAATATTAATTTATTGTTTATCGGCTGTGAACACTACGAATTTAATTATTATTTAATTTATTTCCTCCATATTGCAGCTGTAATCTATTGAAAGAGTACGTAGATAGGCAAAGCCGGTAAAGATAAACAGACAGAGATAGCACCAAGATTATAGAAGTGACTGCAGAAATTTTAGGCGGGAAACTCTGAATACTAGAAAATATTTTAAAGGAAAGGCTTAAATATATTTCCAGACATATATAATATTATAAATTATATTTTGGATATGTACGTTAAACAATTTCTTCCAAGCATATTGTTTCTGCAGATTTTAAATTCGATTGTTGCAGATCCACGTAATAAACATATAAATTATAGAACGAGGACAATCAATGCAATTAAATAATAAATTTTATCCAAAATTTTTCAAGAGTTATTTACAATATGTTTTGCTTATCATTGAAATTAAAAGAATCCTTTGAGTAAAAATTTTATCAATCTTATCGTGTAATATATTTTTCCATGCACTATCTATTATTTTCAACGTTGTTATTGTTTGTTCTCCGCGCAATTATTTACACAGCTATTTGATGTTATTCTTATATTTTTCCCAGTGTATAATACATCGAGAACTGATTTATCCAAGTGCAAACTGTCCCACCTTGGAACCGAATTTAAAGGTTTTATTATGATGACTGTTGGTGGTTTTCGTTGTCAATCATGGACCGCTCAGCAACCACTTCACAAAGTTAGTTTATTAATGTGAATATGTGTATTTTTTTTCTTTTAGCAGCAAACAGATTAAGACATAATTTTATTTTTTAATTCCTCACTGGCCTGTGTTCCAAAATTCACTGCATTTATAAAAATCTATAGCGTACGTAACGTGAACTATAGATTTTCAGTACTGGCAGTGAATATTGAAACAGTGATGTGTGAATAAATTTATACACTAAACATTATGCATGCTTTACATCTAAATATTATGTTCTTTCATATTGAACGCATCTACATATATTTGATTAAAGATTAAATTTCCTCTATACATATATATAATTTAATCACACTAATTAAAGTTTTTTGCACTTGGCTACACTTCTTCCATATTATAAAAAAGCTGCAAACTTTACATTATCTTTTCAATTTCATTATTAGATTAGTGCGGACATAACTGATGAAGATTTTCCAGAGAAATCTATGAAACTCGCGAAAAATTATTGTAGAAATCCTACTCGAGATCCGAGAGGTCCTTGGTGCTATACGTTAGAACCTACCGTTATTGATGATGAGTGTGATGTTCCGCTTTGTAATTATGAAGGTAAATATCATCAATTTCAAAAGAATTTAACCTTCAATGAATTTAAATTTCAATGATCGAACATATTCAATTGAGAACTGATTAAAGAACATTAGTACGAAAAGCTATCTGGACCTTCTTAAGAGAAATTGACATAATAATATAAGAAAGGCTGTTAAAAAGTAATATGAGATACATATAACAATCGAGAAAAGAAATCACAACAAAGTACTGGACGTGTAAAAAAAAATCGAAAAACAAACAATCAGTTGACAGCATGTTAAATATTCTCATAAAAAAACGAACATATTCATGATTTAAAGATTTGAATATTTTAATGTTGCGTTTAATGAAATTTATGAGCTAGTCTTCTAAAAAGTAGATTTAATGAAACTCAATATCTAGTTGCTGATTTTTTATGAATAAGTTGACAAGTGAAATGTATGATATAATTACATGATTAGATTGCATTATAACGGGATCGGGTGTTGAATATGGCGGAAGTCGAAGTTTTAGTGTTTCAAAAAGAAAATGCAAATCGTGGAACAAGAGATATAAACTCGGTAATGCAAAAGTAAGAAAAGTCGTTATGTAGATTATTGCGAAAATTATACGCATCAGTTGATGAAAGATTTACTGCATTGTTGTTAATTTTCAGACTATTAAATTTCACAATAAGCATTTTCCAGATGGATCAAGGGCAAAGGCAAATAATTACTGTAGGAATCCGGACGATGATACTGGTGGCCCTTGGTGTTACGTAGAAGAAAAAAATTATGAGTTAGTAGAAAAAGAATATTGTGATATTCCATTTTGCGATGATAAAGGTTTGTATTGTCTAATAAAATGGAGAATTGAAACTTTAGGATTACTTTAGACTAACTTTAGAATTTTAAAATTTTAAATCTAATATAAAAAATATTAGTATTACATTTTTTATTTTGTACAAAACTATCAATATCCTAAAATTTGTTATTTTTGACCTGTAAGAACATTTTTTGTTTTACAATATTTTTTATGAAAAAATAATTTATCAAGATATGTTTCTTTTCTTAGATTGCTTAATGTATTCACGAAATGCATCAACTTACTCCACATTAACGGGATTAAACAGCACTTACGGAAACATATCTTTTTGGATTAAACTCTGGGATCCTCTTGATGAACAAAATGTATATCAGTATTCTTAACTGTATATATTTATTAGATATATTTATAGAGAACATAATTTACAACATAATCAGTCAAATTGATCATGTGTGTTCAGGCGGAAGCCAGGATTTTGTTAAGTTTGCTTCCAATTCCGTTTTCCGCCAGAAAGATTGCCCAAGATTGGAAAGCAGGAGTAGAACTTTTAATTTCAAACAGTATCAGTGGCCAGACATATCCAATTATGAATGTTAGTGTAAACTGTTTAAAGTTAATGTAATAATAATATACGATGAATACACTAATATCATTTGATTTGATGTATTTTTAGGAGGAGAGCCTTTTTGAAAATACACCCGAAATATTGCTCAGTTCTAAGTGGACTGGTCTGTGGATTGCATGGAGTAGTGGTTTCATATCATTTGGAATACACGGTGCATCCAAACCGTTAATTATGGACGAATATAAAATGGGAAATAGCATTTCGAGTTTATATCCCGACAGTTTTTTGTACTATGGCATTATGGGCACTGGTGTCTTGTGGAGCACAGAGTTTTGTCAAAAGTGTACGTTTAATTGTTCATAAATTTATCCTGCATTTAATTATGTGAAAAATATTGTTTTACTAAATTCGTACTTCTTCGGTATTTAGATTGTGAAAGTCATACAACATTTGGAAGCGATTTCTTAAGGATTTGGTCGATGCAGAAGAGTAATGACACGCAGGATGTTCATTTTTATGTTCGAGCTAGTCGTAACGTAGAAATACGATTATATCAAAGTCCTGGAGCGCTATTTCCTTGTTTCACAGTAAGACAAGCTTTTAATATACTTTAAATTTCATCTATAATTAAATATAAAATACAAGAGCCTGAGATGACCAAAGATTTATTTTAGATAGAAATTGGGCGCAATAATGTTACATCCTTGCTATATCAAGAAAATGAGAAATCAATAAAGCAACATTTGAAAGACGTTATGATTAAAGGATTGATAAATTACTGGAAGTGGAAAGATTTTACTATTAGGTCAACATATTAAATGTGTCTATTAAAAATATTTAAATTCTTTTGCTATATTAATTAATTTTTATATGCAATGTTTATAGCATTTTTGGCACACAGTTGCGCTTATTTTCGCAACGTACGTATGGAATTGAAGAAATTCTAGATGTGAATCATGATTTATTGGTTACGTTACGTTGGTTCAGCGTTGGGAGCGACGAAACAATAGCGCATTGGACATTGTTCTGTCCACCAGATAGTAAATTTTATATTTTTTTTTTTTAATTTCTTATCAATATATGTATATTAAGTTAAATCACCTGTTTTAATTTTGTTTCGTGAATAGCAAACATGGTAGAAGATCCTCAGCCTCCGAACTGCATTCAAAATGCTGCAGATTTCCAGTATCAAGGAACTCAATGGACAAGTGCAGGGGAACTTCCGTGTGTACCGTGGATAGCAGAAGAGGTTGTATTAGGATATTTGATTCTAGGACATTATCATACATTGTATTAGAAAAGATTCTAGAGAGGGTTGTGTTTGTTAGGTGCCACGCGATGAGAAAATAGCCGATAATTTTGTCGATAAGTCTGTAGTGAAAGCTTTAAACAGATGTAGAAATCCAAGTCATGATCCTAGTGGACCGTATTGCTACGCGATTCCCGCTTCGTACGCTATCGATGTTGAAAAACGATTTTGTCCTGTACGAATTTGCCGATCATCAGGTATTTATTAATATAACAATTTAGTGAATTATGTGCAGTGACCTTTTTCTATCGTTTTTTTAAATAAGTGGGAAAAATAAAGTTTGCACTGCTTTTATCACATGAAACTTTGTTTTAAATTTCTGATTAACAAAGTTATGAAATTTTTATTTATTTTTACATAATTGGCGAATTTAATTATAAAAATGTGACAATTTCTACATATATTTTGTATAATTTGAATAAAAGTAAGTTAAATTTCTCTTTTCTTTAGAGTGTCGAATGGCAGGGACTGCTAATGATTACATTGGCACACTGTCGACAACTCGCTCGGGTCGAACTTGCGCAAAATGGTTGAGCGATTACGATCTCGAGCAGATGCAGAGACTGAATACATCATTAATAACGAGAGTTGCTTCTAGAACTCCGAGATCAATTCATGTAAAGTCTCACTGGAAACGTTCTTTGATGGAGCAAAACGTTTTATTGGGATCATCATCGAATCTATCGCCGTCAAGATTATCAAACAGAGTGGTGTTCAAACCTGTTCACAGAGTCGATCGAGCCTATTTAAATGATAGTCTTTATCCTGAACGCAGTGTACGAAATGCTAGCAATTATTGCAGAGATCCCTCGCGCAATATCGCCGGCACATGGTGCTACACGACGGATCCCTTAGTGCCACAAGATCTTTGCGATGTAAGGGATTGCGAAAAGCCGGGTAAAACAAATTTTTGCACAGAATAAGACTTTTAAAATAAAAAATTTTGTCCAGCTGTAATAGATAGCTGCAAATTTAACATGTAGATTTGAAATAAATTTTTCTAAAAGATTCATGAAGATCGCAATTAGTAATATATTCGTTTAAACTGTTTTTCTTTCTTTTAGAATTTTAATTAATGTTAAGAAATTAAAGAAATCACGGAGGAATGATTGATTGGTAATATAAATTTATGTCCGTTCTATTAATGTTTTAGAGGAGTGTACATTTTTCGTAAAAGGACACGGCATTGGGCGACGTTTATACGTTTTGCCGGAACATCGTACGGAAGGCTTACATTTCTCATTAAAAGCATGGGAACCCGATCAGCCAGATTCCATAACGTTTGTATTTACTGCTGATGATGGATTCAATTCTCGTTACATTCTCAAGATTGGAGCCTTGGATAACGAAAAACTGCTTCTTTATTATCAATCGGAAGAGGAGGGTAATTCATCCATTTATTGGAAACTTATGATCACGATAAAAGACTGTTTCTTGATCTTTTTTCTTAAAATTAATCTACTAGAAATAATTTTGGTGAAGAAAAAAACGTTACCGCATTTATTGTATCTCGGCAAGTGGAGCAGCTTTGTTATCCGAATACCTCGAGGACGCGTTCTCGTTTATTACGAAGGAGCGCCGAATCCGCTGTTCGAATGGGAGCATCCTGAACCAGCCAAAGCTTTTCTACCCGTCTATTACTATTATAATAGCGAGAAAGGACACGCAATAGGAGTTGCTTTTGACTGCGCCTCAAGTACATTCTTTGCGATTCAAAATTCGGCGCTCGCGATTATTTACGAAAATCTTTGACATTTTCTGTCGCATTTAGGATGCCATATAGAGAACACGCAAACCGATCGCTACACCAGAATATTACCATTGTCAACGTGGTCCAAAGAAGACGTGGTCAGACCCAGTAGATTAATGCTGATGATACGCGCCAAGGGTGTCGTCTTAATACCGTTACTTCTGCTGCCTGCAACACCGGGGTAAATAAAGCAATTGTTTCGCAAAACTTTATTTCTATTTATATATATTGCATTCACATTTCACAGATTTTACACGCTCACGCTCGGCGAACAGGGTCGGTGGATATATTTTCTGAAAAACACATATCCCAGCGTGAAAGTTTATCGCAAACAGAAAGCACTCAAACCTATATTTACCACGAATTCCTGGACGAACATTACCATAAAGTAATTCTGAAAATACATTTCTATCCGATTGAATTGAATTTAAATACGTAATTTAATCGGCTTCCGGTCTGTTTTGACAAGATGGTCTGAAAATACAATCCAAGTATTCTGCAATGAAACGAACGTGTTCCATTACGTGCACCGTGAGCCGCTCATTTTTTACTTTTTCTCGCTGGCCGTGGATCCGGGAAGTTGGGCCACGTGGAGTGCAAATTGCATGCCGTCAGGTATAATTAAGGGTGTAAGGAAAAAAGTTGTGTGTCGCATATATTATTCAATCATTTAATTACACAGATATAGATGGCCCCCCTTTGGACGGCGGATGGTCGGAATGGGGACCATGGGCGTGTAGCGCTAGCTGCAATGGTGGTGTTGGAACCAGAAAACGATACTGCAATTCACCGGAACCCAACGTGAGGGGCGAGCCTTGCATTGGGCCCAGTAGCATCATGGGACGTTGCAATACGATTCGTTGTGGCGACATAACAGACGGTACGTTACAACGTCACTACTGGAATTATTTATTACATATTTTCATCATTTTACACAGTTAACGAGATTGTTTTTATCTGCAACTGTTTTAAAAATATATTATGATCATTTTTATTATCGTCATGTAGATACCACGATTTCGATTAAAAGGGGAATCGCACAAAATTACACTGCTCTTACTGTAAAAGAACATGAATCGATAACGCTTCCTGCAGCTCCTAGTATCGTGAATTCTATCATAACCGAGTCGCCTGATTCAGAAATACAGTGGTCCCACAATGGAATTTTTCTTCAAAACGAACAGCATAAATTAGAAATTAAGAATTACGAAATCAGTATGTATTTATTTGTTAAATTAATTAATATGCTTAATATTTTGTAATCAATGATTTTTTTCAGACGTAAATTAACAAACTGGAATTTGCTAATTTTTTCAGTAATAAGTAAAGCAAGATTGAACGACTCGGGTGTATACACGCTCACCGTGCATCGAATAGATGGGACATATATGATATTTAAAGTGATAACTTTGGCAGTGATTCCAGTTAAGGAAAGCGTCACAATCCGCGAAACTCTTCCTATGCATGTAACGTGCCACTGTGCGATTCTTGGCTATGTATATTCTGACCTGAAAATTTATTGGACGATCGATAACAAAACGTACAAAGATTATGGCATCACGTTGCCTGCAGCAGTAAATGTCGAGCATATTCCATCTGTAAATAGATCTCATCACGGCACGTGGAAGTGCGTCGTAGAGCAAATGGATCTGAATTTCAAATGGACGACAAATGTGATCCGTGTTAAAGGTAATGCGAAAAATAATATATAAATGCTCGTTCGAATCCGCAATAATAATTTTACGTTAAATATTAAATTTAATAATATCAAACAATGAATTTCTCATCGACATTGATTCCACAAGTTCTTGATCCTCCAAATTGGCGTACTCACTTAATGGAGGATAAATTGACACGGCCGATTTTTGGATGGATGCCAAGCGAGAAATTCGTCGCTTACTCAGCGTTGGCTATAGTTCTCTTTTTTATGTGTTGTGTTATCATTGGTTCCATATTTTATATCAGGTAATACGAAATTATTTGTTTTTAATTGTATATTGGCAAAATGCACTGAAATTATATTTTTGATCTACAGAATTTTTATATCTAATTCAATCTTTTTTTTTTATAAATTTATAACTTAAAAATTTTATAACTTTTTTTATTAATATGTTATTACTTTGTTTTTCTAACGAAAGAATTTATTCTAAATTGATCAAAAACTTCGTAAAATCAGAAAATGTCCATAGTTTATAATATGCGCAATGCATATAAAATAACAATGTAGTACATATTTGATTTGCCATTAGGTTTCGAGAGCGCTTGAAAGTTAACATAACTAACATAAAAGAGAAGATGCGCACAGATAAATCTGCAGCAGAAAAAGGAAAAGATGTCACTGATGAAGCATTTGTAAAAACAGAAAACGAAAACATATCGCCTGACTTTATTGAGCTCGAAACATTACATGGATCATATAATGGACGAGGATTTCGGACAAGAAAGTCGGAAGGCATAAATCATGGCGGCAGGTCGAAATCGCATCAATCAAAGTCCAAAGAAGCAATTAACAAGTGGTCTCGTAAGTTGTTGAAGAAGACTAAATTGGCACCCAAAGGTATTGGTTAAAAGACATTACAATCATATTATCGAACAACTTTATTTCCAACAATATTCTTTATCGTAGCTTGGAATAGTAAAGTTAAATCGACTCGCGATGAAATGCAAGAGAAAGAGAATTTGATCAGCGATACCGATAAATAAATAAGATCTCGCGATAAATATGAAGATGTACGTGCATACAGATGCAGTTTGTATTTTTATACAATTTTGAGTTTGCATATGATATTGAGCGATAATTTTCCGACACTTTGAATGGTTCGTGAAATGGTTGAAACGAACGAACGAACGAAAGAAACGATGCGTGGCAGACAGCAGTGCGAATCAAACGAGATGAAGGAAGGGTGACTGAAAGAAAAAGGAACTCTGAGAAAGAGAGCACGAGGGTCCACTCTGAGCCCCGAGGGCTGGAAGGATTTGCTTCGCAGGGAGGAGTGATCGGCAGGGAGTGAGGTTGCCAGCAGATCGGTAGGACAGGCCCGAGGGAAGCGTAATGAAAATAGAGAAAAAGGGATGGTAGAGGCTATTTGCTGGAAACAGTAAGAAGGACAAGAACAGGCACGACTTGAGAAGATAGAGAGACGAGAAAAGAGAAAAAGGGTGAGAAAGAGAGAGAGAGCGAAGAGGTGCGGCGCAGGAAAGTGCGAGAGGGACCGAGAGAGAAAGCAGAGAGCGACAGGTGCGCGGGCGCCCACGTGGGCTTCTCTTTGAAGCGTCGTCGCGGATGGTGGAAGAGCGAAGAGAAGAAGAAGAAGACGACGAGGACGAGGACGACGAAGACGACGAGGAGGATGACCGGCCGGCTTCCTTGTGCTGGCTGTGCGGACCGACACTCGCTCTACACTCGAGTTGCACTCGCGTTGAGTGTATATGGTGGGGTGGAGACTGCACTGGCGTAGGGTCCGCTTTCCGTCGATAAATCACACTTTTCTTCCTGCGATTGCATGCGTTCGCACGCATGTTTGTTATTTGTTGAATTGAATCAAGGAGCGTTGTAAAGAGAACAATGACTGCGCTGCGCCTCGTGCACAAGACGCGCGCCCCACCTCGTGTCTTTATTTTCACGAGCGTGGCAGATTTTTCGTATCCTATTCGGTCGAAGATATTCGCGCAGTGGCTTGAGCGCATCACGGCAGACGGCCGATGAAGAGCGGAGAAACCCAGCCGAGGCCGGTCGAATATCCCTAAGGCTATTCCTTGACTACGCCGATGAAAAAGGCCGCGGCGAGGGTCCGGCGCGATGAGTGGGAAAAGGCGGTTTCAGGAGGGGGAAGGGCTAACCATTCGGTAGCAAATGCTGGTAACCCGTCGCAAGGTCAAGATCAGTCGGTTAATCCCGTCCAGTCGGCCGAAGGCCTTGCATCTTGCACGACGAACGATTCTGCCTCTCCATTTCTTCGCACTTTCATGTACATGTAATTTCACGCCGCGACAAACGCACTAATTACCGCGCGATTGACGATCGGGAACGACACGATAACTCGCGGAGAGATCAATCAGAGATCGTCAATGGAAAGAGTCGGAACTCTGGAGCTCTAAATGTCAATCCGTTCTGTGCCGGGAACTCATTAGCGATGATCTTCTCGTTCGACAAACCGCGCGCTGTCTGAGAATCTAGTGTTTTCATACAGAAATATAGTAGATGTGTCTTGATCTCCCGCTAAGACGTATCCTGATACCGGCATTGATGCACGAATGCACCTGAAATAATTTATCTGCAAAGTGGAGGCGGAGGTATCGCTGTAGTGGTGGATCCCCAAAATACTCTCCGCGCGGGTCTCTGTTATGGAAACTTGCGTCTTGATACCTAGAGAATTCTCCTTGGTCCTCACCAACGATCAGTCGTCCTGCAAGAACCTCTTCAAGAATGACTCGGGTACGCTGGTTACGGATTTAAGAATTTCGGTATGGACGAATGTGTTCATCCCGTCGGGAACCCTCATTTACCCGTTTCAAGGATCAATCAGATTCGACAAGATCGACCTTTACTCCCTCCTCGATGACAATGATGTAAGTACAAAGCATATTTTACTACTAGCATATTTAGCCACTTATTCTTTATTTGGTATTTTAATACTTAGAGCGTCAAGCTCTTTTGACAGATAATAACATATGAAAATTGGTTATTGTCAGTAGCGATAAGTGTTACATTTATATTCTCATTTTTTCAAATTTAACAAACATTTTCATCCTATAAGAAAAGGATATATATATTTATTAAAATGTATATATCAAATTTAATACACAAGGGTTGGAATAAAAGCCCGAGCGCGTGTCATCAGCGCATATATATAGTGCTTTAAGTGTTAAGAAACTGTTTTTCGTTTAACGACATTAATCAAACATATTTTATAGTAAAATTTTTTACTAGCCAAATAACACATAAGAAGTGTATCAAAAACACTGAATCTCATTAATATTAATTAAATATAATTCCGATCACACGATAAAGAAGATTTACACTTCCTGTAAATGAAGTCATCTCACCTGTTTAAATACCAGTCGTATCACGAGAAAAAGAATTCGACATCGATACGCACATCGATACAAGCCGATACGACCGGGCACACGATTGTCGTTCATTAAAGCGATACGCTTTTAGATCAGACGCGAATACGGCTGCTACGACGAGGTCTTCTTCTCCAACTACAATCTTAACAAGCGTCAGTGCAATTGGATAAGGTTCCTCCGTATTGTGCAGTCGTACGATGAGCAAGTTAATCTGATCGGGACAAAGGTAAAAGGTAAGTCAAAAACGACGCTCGGGTGGCGCGATAAGTTTTTCAACTCTAGCATGCTAAAGTGATAAAATAATCGTCGATTAAAATAAAAAAGTTACAAATCAGAGCAAAAATAAACCAAATGCAATATAAAATTAACCAATTAACTTCTTTTAAAATATTTTTCTCAATTCCTCAAGGTATTAATTGTTTTTAGATCCTTTTTTATTTCGTCTGAGCTTTTGTTATTGCTCGAGTGAACATAACTTCGTTCTTAAAAATTTGCAACACTTCAGAGCATTCTGTTTTCTAAGATAACATTTCCACTCGAGGGGTAAACAAGTCAGGAAAATATTTTACAATCCGGTCGGCGATATGTTAATGTTAATATTTCTCCGTTCAATTCCGCGCTGGCTCTCCCGTTCACGCTTTCGTTTTCTCCCGTTTCTCCCAGGTGAGCCTATATTTGAAGTGATAAAGGACGTTCAACCGGACACAGAACTGGTGGCTTGGTTCCTGCCGGCGACGCAGCAGGATTTCGTTATTATCTCGCACGATGTGTGCTCCAGATCGGCTATCTACAGGTGTACGATCGACTCTATCTTGGACGGTGAGTGAAAGACATGCGCGGATAGTCGAGCCTACTTAGAAACATCGTCAGTAAACATTATTGAGAAAGTGTATGCGAAACGTATGATTTATTTGTATTCTGAAATCAGAGATGAACGGTAAATAGAATCGCGGTCCTATCGCGCGCACCGCCTCGAGTTTCTTTACCCTCGTCTTCTCCTCTCGCGGCGCTCTCTTCCCGCCCGCGGCACGGATTGTGTACGAGCATCGCTATACCAAATTTATCGGCTGTACCTAATTCCTCCACAACTCTCCTTTCCGAACGTTCACAAGAAATGCCGCGTCCCGACGTTATAACTAAGGATCGTCTAGCTACCTTGCGACCATTGTACTGTCCTTTATCCTCGGCGTGCGTGCGCGCGACAGCGACGGGAGTCTACGCATTTGAATCGGAAATCGCGAATCTTCTGATCCGTCCGACAAAAATGCCGCCGCGTATTTGCATTTCAGATCGTTTTCGGCGATCCGGTTGTTCTTTTTTCCGATTGCGCTGCGATTACCGCTAAACGGCCGCAACGGTGGTCCCGATCCGCGGAGAGATAAAAGACTAACGTAGGGATTGTCGCAGCTGCTCTCCTTTAATGCTCGCAAGACCGGTAGATGGCAAAATAATTTTGCCTCTTTCATTTTTATCGATAGACAAAGCTTGTATTTGAACAAAAAAAAACACATTGGTATCGCGTTAATATTTATAAATCTTTCGCATTAGTTTCAATCGGAATTTAACTTCATAAAATCAATTTGTCTGCGAGAGAGAAAGAGAGATCAATTAAATTGTTACATTTGACTTCATTAAGGATCTCATTTGGAATTATTCCTTGCGCAGAATCGCCGTTGGATTTGTCGATGACGTTACTCGCTCATCATTCGCTACCACCGATATCACATTCTTATTACGAAGTGGATGAGTACGAATCGACGTCGGAGGAATCTTCATCATCAACGCTGTCATTGGCCGGCGATCACCTCGATTGCAGCATCTTGACGACGATTAAGAGAGGAGAAAGGGTTTTATTGCCCTGCGAAGTCTGCGGCAAATCCTTCGATCGGCCGTCGCTCCTGAAACGACATATGAGAACACACACAGGTACGCAATAAGCCTTTGGAACTTGCAATTAATATGCAAACAGTCTGAAACGTAATAGTAATTAATACGCATGCAAAATATCGAACGCGGAGCTGTTTTAAACTTTGTCTTTTTTTTCCGAATATTTGAAACTCGCGACTAGATTTTGATGCAGAATTTTAATTCGGGCAAAATTAAAATATTGACAAAAGTTAGGAAATGCACAAATGCAATTAATTTTAATTAATATTACAAGTTTAAGATAATGAAATTATATTTTCGCATATTGCAAAATTGCAGAGAATTTTCTATGCAAATTACATCTCTTTCTGGAACAATTGACAAATTTTAATTTCAGATTAATTTACTTGAACAGATTAATCTCTCGAGAAAAAATACTTATGCGCAATCAGGTAGAATATTTTCGTCTTCGTAGATTGGGCAAATTTCGTACTGCGCTCGCGTGATCCACGCGAGCTGCGAAATCACGATCGCTTTTTCTCGATGATCAAGATAAATGACGTGCGCGCTCGGAGAGAGAAAGAAAGAGAGGGACGTCGTGCCGCGTTGTCCGCGTATAAATCGAGTCAGAAATCATATAAAACGAAGGACCAGCGCGGTAATTCAGGAACGGTATTAAATTGAAGGGGAGAAACCACATGTCTGCATGGTGTGCAACAAGGGTTTCTCAACCTCGAGCTCGCTCAACACGCATAAGCGCATCCACAGCGGCGAAAAACCTCATCAGTGCCTTGTCTGCGGTAAGAAGTTCACAGCTTCGTCGAATCTCTACTATCATCGGATGACTCATATCAAGGTGAGTGTACTTGGCACACATTCGCTACACATATTCTTTTATCAAGCGGCTCGTTGCATCGCATCGCGATGTTGCAAGCCCTCGGCAGATCGATGCGCTGACGAATTTAATTCACAATCGCCGTTTGTATAATTGAGAGACTGGAATTATCGCGGGCGGGACAGTAGCGCCGACGGTTTTTAGCTCGCGGGAGCATCGATCTCGATATTGACGAGTCTGTTATTAATCCGAGAACTCGGGCGAGCTCGCAATATTTCTGCGCCGTTCGCGCCGCACGTTTTCATCTCTTTGCTCCTCGTATTCCGCGTAAGCCTGGTAGAACTGGAGTATCCAATAAGAAAGACCGTGCGATGATCGTAGAAGACGCGATCGAAGGGGAGGGGGGGGCGAGAAGGAGAGGAAAGGTGAACGCGCGCGCGAGAGAGGAGAGTCAGGATGCAAAGTTTTTATTTATCGCAGCGGAAACCGTATGAGTTTCTCTAATCCCACCTGAAGTAATGATATCTCGGGAGCCATATAGGTTGGTCTGCCATCAGCTACTGTAATTGGCCCATTACTTGCTACCGCATGGAATGCAATCCAATTAGAGAGACAGAGAACGTACAGCCGGAGGCTCCTTGCCACGTTACTCACCCTCCTGCTCCCCTTCCCCCCTGTCGCTGGTGCACACGTCCTGCTCGTCCTGCTGCCTGCCTCCACCACCTCCCGCCGTACGTACGTGTCGTTTTGCTCTGATTTTCCCCCTCCGCGTCTCGCCGCGCTCCTTCGCTCTTCTTGCCGCGAGATCCTTCCGAATTTCGCCTTCCTGCCCTCGTCGTCTCACGAAATTCTTGGCGCGACAGATGCATCGGCGAGAGAATCGGATGCGTCAATTGAGGGGATAAATAACGACACGGTCCGTCGCTCTAGCTTAACTACTGCGCCTCTTCCTTTCGACGAAGCACGGGAGGGACATTTTACAGCTCTTCTTACTTTTCTTAATTAGAGGAAATCTTATCTTTAATTGCAAAATATATGGCGCTTACAATTAACGTTTTTTGGAGCGGCTTTAAAATGCTTCCCTAATTTGAAATAAACGGCCAGTTTCTTATATATATATATGTACGTAATTATTCTCTCGCTCGCGATTCGCTCCTCTAGTAATTGCAGACGTCGAAGAATCCCGGCAAGAGCCGGGAACCTACACGCGTGCTCACGGACACATCGCGTCCGTACGTACCCATCGGCAGGTGCATCCGAGATTACGCGTGTAAACGAGAGAAGGTGGACCGTGCGCGCTCGCACACGTACGCACCACGCGACGCGAAGAAGCAGCGCGTTTGCCGGCGACCTTAACGAGCCGCGTACACACCGGTTTTAGTTTAGCAAGGTTATTTGCTAAACGGCTTCCTTGCCTCCGTGAGGAATTGCCACTGAATCATCGAGAGCGCGCGAAGCTGGGCCATTTTTAATCGTTAATAAAAAGAAAAAAAACAAAAAAAACGAGCCTCTCTCTTCGCCCTTAAATCTTTCTACGGCGCGTCTTCGAAGCTGCGCGCGCGCATCGTGGATTTTCTGGCAAAGTTGGAGCTTGATTCATCTCTCACAAAAGTTCGAATGAGAAAGTTAATTTAATTTGCAGAGTTGCGTGACAGACTTGCGAATTGTATAACATAGGTTCATTTGCGAGAAGAGAGTGGTAATGGAATATGTATAATACGTTAAGAGAATCGCAGGGTGTCGTTTTTGTTTTTTTTACAATTCAGAATAAGAATCAAAGCGAAACGCTTCACCAAAACCCAGCGTGATGCAGACTGCTGTGTCAACGCGATGATACAGAACATTCCGCCGAATGCAATTTCCGATTTGATACGCTTAGTTTCTGCATGGCAGTCACCTATACAGATCCAGTACGGCTGAAAAATGTCAGCTCACATTTGTTGAAGAAAAAAATGGACAAAAAAAGATTGCAAGATTTTTCATACATTCTTCAAATGATATACACATTTTTGTGTGGAGATCAATATAATTACTTTGTACACTTAAATTAGAGGATTAATATTTTCAGTATTCTATTTTCTATGCCATTTATATTCTCAGACATTCAGCGACGTGACGCATGTCGCTGAATTTTAATGTCCGCATTCGGCGAGATGTTCTGTATTTGTTTACAGAGTAACTTTTTTTTTTTTTTTTTTACTATCAATATAACGTATCGTGCCGAATTCGGCAGATTATCGCTACGTCTATATTCACTGAAAAAATATTCGTACTTTTCCAGGAGAAACCGCACAAATGTTCGCAATGTTCGAAGTCATTCCCGACACCAGGTGATCTGAAGAGTCACATGTACGTGCACAACGGGCTGTGGCCCTTTAGATGTCACATTTGCAGTCGTGGTTTCAGCAAGCCGACCAACTTGAAGAATCACATGCTGCTCCATTTAGGTAGATGCTCGAATAAGAAGTACATTAAATCCATTCCCGATTTGTGACTGAATGTCAACTCGTAACGGCTTCGTAAAAAAGTTTGAGAATCGCTGGCGTAGACATATGTAAGTATACGAATAACGTGCCATTAAATCGGTCAAACATGCGAGTTGACAAGAGGGCAATCATATATAAGCGCCTGCTTCTTTGTGTTGCAATTGATTCAGAGAGATTATGTTATCTGAAAGCATATTTGTTCAATTATGTAAATTTTTTTTTTGAGGTTTCTTAGTTATCCGATCAGTTATATTATCATAATTACTCGATCGTACAATTAATATATCATTTTTTTTTTCTGAAAACATCAGCCATTTGTATTCATGAAAGTGCTACTCTTTCATTTACTGATTTACATTTGCATATACAATATGGATACGATGGAGATCACCTCCATGATTAACCAGAACAATTCTGTACTGCTTATTTTTCAATATTTTTTACAATATTCACATTTGTTTTCTCCAATACATTCGATGATTAAAAAATATTATCTTGCAAGGAGATGAGATCGTTAGAAGTATGAGAGTTTTTTTCACTAATTCGCTCAATCATTCAAGAACATTATTTATCATATCGCGAAAGAGTTATTTAAAATTAATCGAGTGAACGAGGAAATATACATAAGTCATCGTGTATAAACATAAAGGTTCTTCGTAAGGTGAAGAATGTAAGTTGCCATTTTCTTAATAATTACAAGAATTAAAGATACCGTTAGATGTTTTAAGAAATGTATAATGTATGATAATACATATATATGTGTGTGTGTGTGTGCGGTAAAAGATTGTCATTATAGCACTACTTCCCTTGTGAAAAGCGTGACGCGGATTTCGTCCGTTGTATATCGATCTTACCTCATGTTCAGGTATCGACGATCTTTAAATAAATATCACCTGCACATTTCATAGACGATTTATTTGATTGGATGATCGATGCGTGCTTTTTTAACCGGTGTAAACGCATTGTAAATCGCGCACGAGATGAATTGCTCGATTGTACATACTTCTCGTTTCATTTTATAATTTCGAGTGTTGGAGTACAAAACGATGGGCCACGCACATCCTTTGTAAATATTCTATTAAACGGAACACAATTTGGAGATGTTTAGATTTTCACAATTTTCTTTTCTTGTTTGTTTGTTTGTTTGTTTGTTTGTTTGTTTTTTCTCTCTTTTTACTTTACGCAACTTTACCCAACTCGTGGATATCTCTACGCAATAGTTAATCATCTCTTAATGCGCATTAAAACATGGAGCCGCCGCTGCCGAGACCGGCTTTCGTGTCGACAGGTACTTGTTTTTGGAAACAGTCCTCTAAGAACTGTGCCATCGAGAGGTACAAATGTCCCTTAACGCCCGCTAAAGTATGGCTCACGTCCGGATAAACCTGCGAATAAATCGATAAGTACATGCTTCCGAACTTCCGATCGCAATTGATTTAAATACAATGAATTTGAACGACGTTGAATTTTACGTCGATTAAACATCAGATTTAATTAAGCGACATCGCGCATCTGGTTTCCATATTTTGATTAGCGCAATGAATTTGAATGAATACATTGAATTTTACGTTGATTAAACATTGGTCCAGACTTGATTAAATAATTTTGCGCATCTGGTTTCCATATTTCAATTAGCATTAAATACCACGATTGGAATTGTGAATGTTGAATTATTATTTATCAAACAATAGTGTATCAAACCGGAAACCACATCGCTTTCGCAGCGAGAAGACAAAAGTTAAAAACACATGTACGAGAAACATGTCGAAAAGTACCTGCTGCCGAAATAGTATGCCCTTCTTGGCGAGGTAACGGGCGAGCGCCATGGACTGTTGGAACTGGACGTTGTCGTCCGCAGTCCCGTGTACTAAATAAAACATCTTGTTACGCAGATACTCGATTTTGTCGTAAACGTTGGAGTCGGCGTAGCCTTTGTAATTGGACGTCACGTTCGGTAATCCCATGTACCTTTCGGCGTACGCGGAATCTGCGCGGGACAAATTATTCGCGCTCAGAATCACACAGCAAAATGCAAGTGTAACGGATACGCTAAGATGCGGAGGCATTTTCAGAGAGCCAGCGCACATTCACAGTACCGTAGAGTTCCCAGGAGACGACAGGCGCCACGCTTATCCCGCACTGGAACACGTTTTGCTCCGGATAAGCCAGGGCGAGTGCAGCGACGAAGCCGCCGTAACTCCAACCCCAAACAGCGACTCTCCGTTTGTCCACGAAGTGCAGCGAGTCCCGTAAGTACCTGAAGACAATTAACAATATCGTACCGCAAACAGAGAGAGACGCTTTACGGTGTTTTATATACAGAGTGTCTCATACTTACCGTATCACCCGTTAATGGTACATTCCTGAGGTCATTTGGAGACGAAAATCTTAATACCAAAATGTCGAGACTACTATGGTATTTGAATGGGAAAGGCTTAAAGTTTTCCAATCAGCTTGTCAGAATTTCGCGCGCTCAGGGACATCGCATCTCGAAAGGACCCATGGGGTGCGTTCAGGGAGACGCTATTAGCGCTATTTGCGTCATTCTATCTTTATCGCTCATTAGACATAAAACAGGGATAGAATGACACAATAGCGCTGATAGCGTGCTCCTCGAACGCACCCTTGCACAACACTTTATGTAGCAGATCATACTTCGTACCGATAGTATTGATTTTCTCTCATGACATGAGAAACGTCATTTGTCAATGTAAATGTGAATAAAGTGACTAAAGTGAATAAGAGCTGAGTGAAGTGAATAAAACGTATTGAATAAAGTGTTGTGCAAGGGTCCTTTCGAGATGCGATGTCCCTGAGCGCGCGAAATTCTGACAAGCTGATTGGTAAACTTTAAGCCTTTCCCATTCAAATACCATAGTAGCCTCGACATTTTGGTATTAAGATTTTCCCTCTCCAAATGACCTCAGGAATCTGCCATTAACGGGTGATACGGTAAGTCTGGGACACCCAGTATAGACGATTGAACAGTTGTTCATTGTAAAAGTGAGTCCTTATTAATATCTCGCTTACTCCGTGACTTCGAGCTGATCAGCCACCTCCACAGAGCCCAGCCTGTAATAAACCTCGTGGAGCAATTTGTAACCTTGACCCCCGCTTCCTCTGCCATCGATTTGTGCGACGATGACGTTCTTCTGACTCGCTAAATACGTGTTCCAATCCACTTTAAACATCTCGGTGACTAGCTGCGAGCCAGGCGCGCCGTATCTGCAAGAGAAAAGCTTTTCTTCACGGACAATACATATTCTTTGCGGATATTTGTCCAAGCAAAGACGACGTAAGCGAGTTGGGTTTCTTTCGAGTCAACGGCGATTGTTCATACAGCAATAATAGGCTATATCGCACGCGTGACATGCTTACACCTGAACAACCAGCGGATAGCGCGTGATCTCGTCCTCTCTGAGCCCAGGCGGGAGGTGCAATCTCACTTGAGCGTTGTAGCCACCGCTTATCTGCACGGGAAATGTCTTCACCTGCGGAAGCGCGATGTTCGCCAGCCTTTCCTGCAATAAATATAACAACGTTCGATGCGGTGCACTTGAAAAAAAAATCGATACAACATTTCTGAAGAGGATATTTCGCGAGGCTTTTGCAGCCTCAGCGGAAACTCACGCGCAGCAATGTGTTGTTCTGCAGTATGCCGATGAGCCGCGGCGTGGGCATCTCCGTTTTGTAGAGGGCCACGGTGGGTACGCCAGGCCCGAGGCACTCGAGAATGAAATACTCGAGGCCCGTGGATGGGAAGATCGCGTTGTGATACTGACAGGGTGGCTCGCCGCTTCCTAGAAATACAAAAGGCGTCGGGGCCGAATAATAAGGATCGTGCGCATATCAGACGGGCGATAACACGTATGCGTGATGCACGATTATTTACTCCAGGCCCCGGTTTTTCGTTCTCTCTCAGATATTTAGAAGATACGTATCGGGGATATATATGTGCAATATATCCGCGCAATAAATTTCCGGATATACTTTAGTGTTCCACGCTCAGATATACATCCGCGCTATGCATATCCACACATGTCATACACACACCATCGTATACAGAGCAAGTATGAAGTTGCCATACCATATTTATTAAGCGTACTTTTTTATCCAACTGCGGATTGTTCGACCAATTTGGAGTTGATCGTCCCTTCGCGAAAATGTTGAGTCCACGGTTTTATAAATGATTCAAAATTGGAATTTTTTTTTACAAATTAAGAGAAAACAAAAAAAAATATATAAGATTACATTCCTTAGTCGATTTCGAGCGAATTCCGTCTCGGTGGAATTTTGATTGTAAAAACAGAGACAAATAATAAATAATAAAAATTTTTGGCTAAGGAAAATCGACTCCGCATTGGCGAAAAGATCCGCAGCTGAAAGAAAGTGCGCTTAATGAGCGATACCCTGTATATTGTCAACTAACAGATATTGTTTGGTTGCGTACCGTCTCTACCTGATTGATTACTCGTGGATACCGTCCGTCTCTCTGTCAGCACTCACACACTCAAGATGGCAAGAAAACGGTACAAAAGAAGGAGGCTGTGGATTCGAGAATGCCGCACCATCGGCACCAGACGTCGGTACTATTGTCGTGGATTGCCAATAAAGCCGGCTGTTAAGAAATCTCTATAAAGGAAAGGACGTGACTGTATGGCAGGACGACAGTGGTCCAGAAAATCCAGACAGCCTCTTAACAGGACCCTACCCACGCGATAAGGGATATTTACTCCTGTTATAAATAAGAATTACAAGTAAGATACATTTTGATGGAATGTGAATGATCCCAGACGGTTTTTTTTTTGTCTTTATCTCGTTGCTCGATATGTTTTTCACATTTCTCAAGTATTACACGAATTAATTAGGAGAAAGTAATCAAGTCGGTCGTAAATTAAATGATACACGAGCGAACTTTTTAAAAAATTGATATTTTGAACCAGGTGCGCCATATTTGATATACGTATATCGATTTTGCAATGAGATCCCTGTTAAAATTATACAAATCGATCAATCCTCGACATATCGGATTCGTGAAAAAGTTGGCACGTATATGATTGCCTCAAGTGAGAAAAATATGCTACTCTAGTAAAAATCATCGAGTATTATTCACAAATGCAAAAATTTCAAAAATGCACAAATTTTTTTCATTATACAATGTTAAAATACTTCTTGTAGTGAAACGTTGAGAAAAAAAAAAAACAGATTACTTTATTGGAAAAAAAAAAAGATCGCGTGATAAGATCCTTTAAGAGTTCTGAGCTAGAAACACATCTGAAGCACATAAACGATACAACATTATTGACATCGTACACGCATGGTGCGAACAACTATAAGATTTTGGCTAGCGTTCAGCATGTATAAATTTACATACATTATCGGATGTTCATAGATATTGATGGTACCATATAAGAAAGGCAAACAGAAACATATTAAAAATTTGTATGTAACTCGTAAATTTTGTATAAAAATTATGTACAGCAGGAGTGTAGGATGTAACGGTTAAAAATATACCGGAATATATTGCAAGCTTTGTAGCCGAAGTGATTTTCATCGAAATATATTCCTCTTGAACGCATCTAGGAATTTTCAGCCTAATTGTATGCTAGATTTTTACCGCCAACGGTATCGACGCAGCCTTACCCCTGTTTAAAATGTCATTGTGTCTTTCCGAGTAGGAAGGAAGTGTACGTCATAAACCGGTTAATAAAAATTCAATATACTTTGAAAGGCCAGTGAAGTTTTATGAAATCTTTTACTTGCGAAAGACGTCGATATGCGAAAAAGAGCGAAGAGATATGGAATTTTTTACAAAACAACAGGTGTTACTTTGCTAGATTGCGTGCGAATAATTTTGCTGATATATTCAAGTGAATATAGCTACAGCGGAGAAGCGTCAGAAATTAACAATTTGATACTATACGTAGTGTAATGTGGATGAGAAAGTTTGCTAAAACGATAAATGAAAAGTTTATCTTGCAACTCTGGATATGCGATGTGTATTTCAAGTTTTATGTTACGAAAATACAGTTAAGTGCTTGCAGCTGCCGAAATCAAATATGAGCGTATGATAAAAGTAAAGATAATTTATTATCAACAGTTTGCACAAGCTTCCGCAGCGACATCGAGATTAAATATCGATAATTAAGATTTACATGCAATATGCAGAATAGTGACATATATGAGAGAGAGAGAGAGAGAGAGAGAGAGAGCCAAACGCTTAGCAACAACGCGCACATCAGACATTATTGGAAAAATTGGAAAGAAATATGAAAGAATGAATCTTAAGAATGATTTCATGAGATAAACATCGTTGAAATTGAACATCGTTAAAAATTGAGCTGATTAAAATTCCGATTAATCGGAATAGTTAATCGATCTTCTATTTCGAACCAAAGTGAGATCAAATCGAAAACAATCGCGAAAACATATTTTTCCACAGAAAGTCTGAAGAAGTCTTCAATTAAAATATTCAACGCATATATCTTTCATACGGTGATATTTCTCGCCTGAACTCTCGCGTTACATATCGAGCTGCTGTTCTAAAATTGATTCGAAATAGACACCTTATCCTAACAACACAACACAGCTACACAGTATCGCGTGGCAAAATAATGATGATAAATTATAAGCCTTGAAAGCGGGATGCGGTAGTATGATGTTGGAACTCACTTGAAACGTTCTTGCTTTTCGACTTGTCCTTCCTGGGAGTCTCTTTGCGATGTTCCTTATTATCGATACGGTCGGTTTGAGTTTCATAGTGATCATGCCATTCGTTTCGGTTGGTCATACCGTTCTGCCGATTCGAAGAACTAGTCCGGTGCTCGCCTTCATCATCGCTCGTCATACCGGATGAAACGGTACACGTGAGGCATACAGCTGGATGCAAAGGCGATCCCGTAGTATGAGGGATTGTGGAGTTCACGCGATAGAGATGCCTCTGGCCCGGCCTCATCGGCGGAATACCGATGAAATATCTGATTCAAGAACACGCAAATTGTTTCGCGACGTATTCAAATCGTAAATTATTTCAACTCCATTCAACTCCGCGGCTAGTGCGAAGTCAGTGGATTAGTTACGGGCTATTTGCTCACATGGTATTATTCACTTGGTCCCACGCCAAAATCCTGACGACCTCGAGCTTCCCATGCGTCAAAGGCACTACTACTTGTTGCTTTTTGGTCACATTCGCCCAAATTATATTCTTGTAATATCCCGCCGGTCCGTCTTTCACGGGACTTATTGCAATGTAATTGTTTCCATTCGCCGAGAAGAAAGGAGCCTCCGGAGGAGTGTCCACCCATCCGCGACCGTCGCCCGTTATCCTTTGTAATTCCTGAAACAATTCATTTGCACATTTTAATATCTCAATCAAATATATTCGTCTTTGAAAATAAGAGATCGTTAATTGTCACCGAATGCAATATTTAGAAAATTTATGAGTAAACATGAATAGGAACGAAGCACGTAGTTATTAATAGAGTTATTAATAGAGAAACATACTCTTATAGATATCTCTGGCTCGATATATTCATGCAAGCGAAAGGAGATTACACAACGAACCTGACAGTGCCACAGTGGACTCTTGCAGATGGTCACCACTGAGAAATTTTGCGCGCGCGTCAGCCACGTTATGCAGACTTCCGTCAGTGATACCCAGGAGGCGGTCGAGAAATAGTGGTCCCTGGCAGGAAAAAAAATGATAACGCATTTGAGGAAAGGACACCTGTATTATTTTACGATAAGCTGTAAGTTCATTAAAAGGGTCGTACACATTCCGCGAGTGGTCTAAGTTACAGCTATGAAGCGTTAAGCAAACGAGCGCAGTCGGTGTCGCAACCGAGTAGCAAATCTCTTCCACTTCGCTGTAGAAAGAAATTTTGAGAAATAGGAACTGGTTGCGGCCTCCTCTGTAATTATTAAAACGTTAAACACGGCAGATGTGCGCCGATGCACTCGCTCCATAACGGTATTATTGCGTTCAACGTTTTAATAACTATTCTTATCGTCTTATTTGTAAGAATAAATCCGTAAAAAATTACTTGTGAAATAAAAAGTATCTCAAACTACCATTCCGATGCCATTCCTATACGTTACATTAAATCGTTTTCTTTTTTTTTTTTTTTATCACTTCCGGAGTCTAATTTGATCGTGTGTAAGAATTATTTTGTACTTACTTTTAATTTCTTTTAATTAGTTTAGTAAATTAAAGTTTGTTTAATATATATATATATATATATATATATATATATATATATAATAACGTCTCCCTAAAACAATGCATTAATTGATTAATGATTAATAACTCTGCAGCCGCAAAAGCGTTTGGGTCGCAAAGAAATTACACGGCACAATGTGTATTTACTCGAAGCAGGATAAATAAACTCACACATGCTCGATGCTAGGTGGCGGTTTCACTACCTTCGTATGAATATTTTTTAGATCGACTAGATCTGCAACGTACAGCCGCACCGACGGATTTGGCGTTCCCGGCTAAAAACACAAAACAGAACTGAGGTTAGGTTGCTCAATTTTTAAAAATCCTTTTAAATGGAATCAGTGAAGAATCGAACTTTGCAAAACCGTTATGATCAATTCTCGCGTACCTTAGGATATCGTAAGGACCGTATGTCAGGATACAAGGCTTTGTTGCCCTCTCCGAACCATGAAATGTGCATCTCTTCCACGAGAGAGTCATTGAACGAGGCGTAAAGCATCATGTGACCATCTGGCGCCATCCAGATCGCCTCTCCACTATGCAATATCTCCTCTACGAACAGTATTCAAGCGATAGATGCATCTCTTGGATTCACTCAATCAAAGTTTTCTCAATTTTAAAATGCCCTTTGCAAACTTTACTAATTCATTAACTTTCGTCGCAGCCGTCGCGGCGAATTTCGCGAACGAGCTCGACGAATCCGGAAATGAAACACCTCACCTTCGTACAGCCAGTCCGGCACGCCGTTAGACAATATGCCAGGCACCGCGGTGTTCGTCACGCGAAAGCCGGAGTTGCTCGTGGGACTTGGCCTGTAGTAAATATCATAATCCTGCACCATGACGAGCCCGTGTCCGCGCGGAGTCCATTGCGCTAGTAGAAGATACGGGTGAGCATTTTTTTCCGGATAGGGAGTTAACGCCATGCACTCTCTGTAAAGCCGTTCGGAAAGATTTCTACCATCGTACTTTAAGAAACATCTAATTGACGATAATTCGACACACTATCGTCAATCGGATTGTGAAAAATACCGCTGGCGAATAAGCAAATCGCACTAACCGTGTCTCGATCTCGTAAATGAAGTATTGCGCTAAGTACGAATAGCGGAACAGCTTCTTTACGTTCTGCGCGAGAAGAAGGTACTTGTGATCCGGCGATAAGGAGAACTTCACCGGGTTCCATTGTCTCTGCGCAAGAACATTTAACGTTTATCGCTCGGTAACAAAACTGAAAGTGCAACATAACCCGTGCTCTAACGGCGGGCACTTACAAATGTTTCATTCGGCATTAAACTACGCGATGTGACTTTTGTATCCGATGCTTCCAACAGAGAGATGCCGCCCCAGGAGTCGCGATAGCATATGTGGCGATTACTCGTCCAGGATCCATTGAATAATAAAGGCGTCAATTCGCCGGACAGCACCTAAGTGACAAAAGTGCAAATTCCGAAGATACCGACTTGGGTGAATAAGAAAGACATTTTCGACGTTTCAAAACACGTGATTTACACAAATTTAAGAAAGAATATATATCGCTTCAATTTCACTGCGCTTCCTCGGACGATCATAGTTATTGATTGGGTGCAAAAATTTTGATGAGGTTTTCGTGCTTTTTTACAGCATCGTTATTGTGACGCGGTCGCTACTCACCTCGGAGAGACGTAATCGCGCTCCTCGCACTCTGGGGCCATCGTCGGGAGGTGTGAGCAAAGCGACAGATGTGACAATAAGGGCTAGGACCGCGACGATCACGAGCAACGCTATCAATATCCCACGCCAATTCCTTTGATTTGGGTTGGCTGAAACTAGCTCCTGTCACAAAGGTTTCTTACTAACGCTAAATGTCAGACAACTGGGTCGTCGTGCCGCGAGTGCCATATATCGTTCCCTTCCATTTTTCATCGTAAGACACATCGTATAGAAAATGTAATGCCGCATCAACGCGATTGTGTGTTAAAAATAAGCGATGGATTTCCGCCCGATGACGTCGGAATATTAATAAAATCTTAACTCAAGGTGAGATATTTCTATAACAATCATAACAGAATTCTGCAATTCGATTTTGCGGCTGAAAATGCTTTCTGGACGATGTTTCAGCTTTTTTTCGCGTGCGACGAAGGGGCATCCGAACGACATAGAAACTCAAGCGACTCGACGCGAACAATGTTTGGAAGATTAAGATGTCTTAAACATTTTTACGATGTCTTTAGCGTGTTTGTGTTGGCTAGGAAATAAAAGCAAGTAATAACGTGGGCTATGAATATAAGTGTTAGATCATCGACAGAACAATCCAGCCAAATCACGAGGGTTCTGATTTTAAGTGGTGATTTTCTTTGTTCAAACTTTAAACCGTCGAAACCACGGCGCCATAAATAAGTTTATTTCGATTCTGACACTTAAAAAAAAATCGTAAAAATCTGATATCGCAATATCGGTCGTATGCAAAAAAAAAAGATACACAAGTCGACTAAAGTAGCTTTGTGTTTGACGGCGAGAGTGGCTAGTCAGCTGCTGTAGCTAAAATCGATAGACAGAAACGATGTACTGCGCTGTGCGTCAGCGAGTTAAGGGGAAACGCGTATCAATGTGCTTCTCAACAATGGATTTGAAAACAAATTTCGTTCGGACGAGCCTAATTTTTGACGTGCCGCGATCGTGGCGAACTTAACATTGAACCCGCCGATGAGAGTCGCAATCGCTTATGTCATTAAATAACCGTATAATAGTTTGTCTTTGTTGTGCGTCGCCGCATTTACCTTGCTTGCAATCAATATTTCTTTATAATTCTTTATTTAGAATTAATTAGCGTTCGATTTAATCTCCCTGAGAAGAAAACTGCTCGATTAAGTATCCTGGTTTAATTAGACGTTAAGTTTCTTAGCGAATGTTACCTCGTCAATGCAATACTTGATTGCAAAAATTGAAGGTATCGATTGCGATCAAGATAGATTCTTGAATGCAAATAATTTTTAATTTACATCAACTCGACGGACAGATACGATCGGTAGCACATGCAATAACTGCTACTACTGCTAACTACTGCTATGTATCGATATATTGAATAAATTTTATTTTTGTTCATTGTTTATTTATAGAACTCAAATCTTCTATTTATCTCATCATCGTGTATCGACAATACTTGTTGCGCAACCGCATTTGCTACCTTTAATAAACATCCACAAATTAATTTGCTTAATTAATAACACTCGCTTACAGGAAATATGAATAGAACGTATAATCGCTATTTATAGAACGTTACGTCCGTATTATTTTTCAGAGTTGTATGTAAAAATAAGAAGTAAAAAGCAGACGAGCAGATTCTTCCTGGAATTAGCAAGACTTGAAAAAGCCGCAGTCGCGTGACGGCAGTCACGGATGATTTAATTAATTACCTCGTCGTCGTAAATGTTGTCGTGATCTGCCATCGGTGGTGCGAATCGAACGCTCCGCTTTCTCTCAACCTGAGCAGATGCGAGATGACGCGGCCCTTCGCGTTTATCCCATTCGACGTTATTAGAAATTTCTGCGATTGCGATTCACTCGTTCGTTGATTATTTTCACAGTGATGGATCTCGTACGATAGATACGAAACACTTGTGCCGTACGAATTTTCAGTACTGAGGGAGAGATCATCCCTTCCGAGAGATGTTGCGGACGCAGAGTCTGCGCGATGGAGGCTGCGCTATACGGAGACGGACGGGGAGAAAAAGAATTTATTACGTATACCGATATAAAATCTTCTCAGCACATGCATGAAGCAAAATATTTACAGTGTTTACAGAGATTAGTGTCGTAGAAATGCATACATCGTGCTTAATCAAAGAAGAGGAAAGAAAATGTAGAGAGGAATAAAATATATAATAAAATTAACGGAGATAAGAGAGTAATATTATATAATAAAGTAATATTAAATAATAATTGGATGAAACTCACCACTTGGAAAATTAATGGATAATTGAAACATCCGGATGCGTCACGCACCTTATGTTCATAACGTAATCGTAGGAATTAAAAAAATTGGCACGAATTCTGCAAATATAATAAAGAATAAGCGAGCGAAGGAGGTCATGCCGCTTGTTATTCGCTTTTAATTTCCGCAAAATACATGATAATATATGCATCTCGTCAAACATTAAATGCAATAAACCGGATGTATAAACATAGACTCTCTGAATCCTCGTGTTCCGCTGATTAATGAGAGATTTGCGTATTCATGCGTTCATAATCAGAGATAAACAACGCTGACGTTGCGACTGCAATCGAATATCTTATATTCTAACATTATCCGTAATCTCTCAAATTCAGTTGATTATCTCCGTGAACTCGAGTTCTCCTTCGCTCTTTTTGCGCTGCTTCCCACTACTTGCGATCACGGAGCATGCGTGGAGTGAAAACATCGCCGTACGCATGGCCGAAAAACATCTCTCCGTTTCGCACATCTGTCTCTAGCGAGAGCGAAGGTGGGGAAGAATGTTATAGGTTATATGTCAATGTTCCTATCTACATATACATATCGACCGCGAAACGGCGTGATGACATTTTGCGTAATTGTTGATCTGGTCGCGAAGCTCCAAAAGTGATTTATCAGAAGCGGGCTTCGTTTACACTTCGTTTTTATCATAAAATATATATTACGTACTACGACGTACAGTAATGCAAAATGTATATGATATAATATTTAAAACAGTTATAAGGCTTAATTAGTTGCTCGTGTGTATATGATATACAGGAGCGATGTCGGCGTCGGAATCATTAGCGATTGTGCAGTCAAAATTTGTCTCAGGCGAGACCGTCGTGACTGTATCCTTTTCTGATCTTAATGGCAAATGGATGTACATCACTCCAGGCTCAATTGCCATTTACCATTAATAAAAGACTCTGAAGATATGTTGAATTATAAGTCAGTGTTTTGTCACTGTGTGTAAAGTATGCTATCACAATTCCTTAACTGTGTTATCATAGGCTACAGAAGCGGCGTTGATACAAGGCTGGATAAAGTCTTCAAGATATGTCGCTCTTGTTAACAAGGGTGCCACTCATGCTTTGGCGATTTTCCTTACTTCAAGAACACCTCCACAGGTCTACAGCGACCTTACTCTGGAAGGAATATTGCCTATTGATCAAGACTTTAAATGTGGTATAGGTATCGTAGCATTTCTACATTATTCATTAATTACACTTGAATTAAAATAGTGCCATTTGTCGCTACTTGATGAAATTACTTTATCAAATGGTCAAACAAATTCTCAATTGAGCCGTTTCTTTTTAATTAAAGACACCGATGGGAAAGCGCAGGATGGTCATGATGTGTATATGAATATTACATCGAGAAAGCTTCGTCTGATATTTGAGATGAAACTCGGAGAGGCAACTAGTTCTTTAGTGTCAGAAATATTTCGCGCAATAGAAGGTATACACGCTTATGTATGCGATATGTTGTATAATTTTCACACCTAAATCTACGAAACAAGATGATGATGATGATTTTAGTGTATCAAACAGCTAAAAGCCCGGCAGCAGAGTTTTTATGGATCGAGAAGTTAACGAGGAGTACAAGAAATTTGGCAACAGCTGGTAAAGACACGCAGGATCCTGTCGATCCTGTGAGTTATCGTTTTACAGTAAAAATCATTACCAAAATGTAGATTGATCCCTAGAATCTTTTAGTAAACGTTTATTATTTTGATAGCTGCTTCATCTCGAGAGTCCCGATTTAGTAGTACCGAGACAAAGTATTGCATCCGGTAGATCCCCAGTAGCTGCAAGAGAGTCGGTGGTGCGGTATCAGATGGCCTGTAAAGAGGACGATTACATGTATAGCAAAACATTTCGGTTCGTTGACAATTCAACGCTCTATATCTCTTTTTATCTAATTCAAGGATACAGAAATAGCACATTTCACATTGTTGATAATTACAGTATACTTACTTGTACGTGGAACGTAAACGGACAGCCCCCAAATGGCATCCAACTAGACCCGTGGTTAAGTGCCGACGAAACACCGCCAGACATATACGCCATTGGATTCCAAGAATTAGATTTAAGCAAGGAAGCATTCCTGTTTCACGAAACACCCAGAGAGGAAGAATGGAGGTACATCATCAAACAGTAAAAATTTCAAGCCGAAGGCACGGATTTGCAAATTGTGTGACGACAATTATTATTCCAGACAAGTTATAGTTAATTCGCTTCATCCTGGTGGCGTTTATACTCAAGTTGCTCTTGTCAGATTAGTGGGCATAATGTTGCTAGTGTACGCACTCGAAACTCATATACCTTTCATTGAAAATGTATCTACTGACACAGTGGGGACAGGCATTATGGGAAAATTGGTGAGTTTCTAATATCTGTTCATTAGAGCAAGATATGATAACGCAATGCGTTCAATCAACGGCCGACCATTATTTTTATACTAATAGCCACTTATTCTTGCAGGGTAACAAGGGTGGTGTTGCAGTAAGTTGTTGCATACACAATACGTCCATTTGCTTCGTTAACGCCCATTTGGCGGCGCACTGCGAAGAGTTCGAACGACGTAATCAGGATTACGCTGATATTTGTGCGAGATTATCCTTTGCGAAATACGTGCCGCCTAAAAGCTTTAAAGATCACGAGTAAGTTCTTCCATGTTAATTATTGTATTATTTTGGACTGCATATTATTGCTTATGTTTTTGGTTTAATTTATTGTTTATTCAGTTTTCTTAAACTTCGATATTAAATCGAATTGATATCGTAGCCAGATTTATTGGTTGGGGGACTTAAATTATCGGATAACGGATATGGATGCTACGTTGGTTAAGCAGTATCTTTCGGAGGGTAATTACGCCCCCGTCTTGGCACTGGATCAGCTCGCCCAGCAACGCAAAGCGGGACGTGTGTTTCAAGGATTTCAGGAAGCGGAGATTAATTTTAAACCCACATACAAGTACGATCCTGGCACCAACAATTGGGATTCGAGGTAAGAGTTTATTCAATTCTCCGAAATTCATTAAAAACTCAACCAAGTACGATTTTTACACAACTTTCTTTTCATGTACAGTGAAAAATGCAGAGCACCAGCTTGGTGCGATCGAGTGTTGTGGAAAGGAGACGTGATCAAGTCGATCAGCTACAAAAGTTATCCGGAACTCAAGATATCCGATCACAAACCGGTGACTGCAGGCTTCGATTCTCAGGTGAATACATGAAAACATTGCTTTTATTTTTCTTGTCCATCATACATAGAAAGTAATTTTATCATTTTTTTTTCTTCCTTAACAGATACGAATAATAGACATGGCCAAGTATCGCAAAATCCACGAGGAAGTCATGAAGAAACTGGATAAATTGGAAAACGAATTTTTGCCGCAAGTAATGGTCGACACCACAGATATTATCTTTGATATTTTGAAGTTTCTCGAACCTAGCAGTAAAGAACTCATTATTGCTAACACAGGCCAGGTAGAGTAAAGTGGAACAATTCTTGCTGGAACTGTATCTTTACTTTTATTCTTTATATTTCTTGTTAACCAGGTTCCGGTGCAATTTGAGTTTATAAAAAAATTAGATGACACAAACTACTGCAAGGATTGGTTGCATATCGAACCCTACACAGGCTTTATAAAGCCAGGTACAAGTTCAGACCTTCTATCTTACTTTTTCTACCTTTAATAAATATTTCTCGTATTCGCATACCTTTAATCCATTGTGTCTTTTCTTCCTCACTTAGGTGAAAAGTGTGATATTAAGTTGGAGGTGTACGTAGATAAGAAAACTGCTTGCAAGCTGAACTCCGGTGAAGATAAATTATATGATATTTTAGTGTTGCATCTCGAGGGAGGCAAGGACATCTTTATCACTGTGACAGGTACGTCATGCGCTTAAAATATAACGAAATCACATAACTTTTTTCTACATTTGGCAATAATTGAGTTAATACTTTCTTCAGGTATGTACGAGAGAAGCTGTTTCGGTTCTTCTATGGAAGCATTAGTTCATATTTCAGTGCCGATTAGAGAAATTCCTATTGGACGACTAGTAGAATTGGTGAATATTCAATAATTCATTCATGGTGCAATTCCATTGCTGTATCTGTGAGTTAACTCGTATCTTTCGGTTCAAAACTTAGGAGAACAACAAAAATCTGTCGCAAGAACCGTACGCAGTGCCGAAAGAAGTATGGCACTTAATCGACAAGCTGTATCGACACGGCATCAAGACTCCAGGACTGTTCGAAACACCGGGTCTCCATAGCGAGATAGTAGCTATTCGAGATTGGTTGGACGAGTGCAGTCAGGAACCGATGCGTATCCTTTTTATACTTCGAAAACATGACGTGTGCACCGACACATTATCGCCCCTTAACGATTTCTCTTGTTGTATACAGCTGGTGGTATACATTCGGTGGCGGAGGCATTGCTGCTGCTTTTAGAGTCCACAGCTGAACCTTTGATACCGTATAATCTACATAACGTTTGCTTATCTGCGGCAACTAATTATTTGCAATGCAAACAAGTAAGTAGAATTGAAGAAGCTGACTTTATTACGCCCAAGATTTTCACGTATGATCAAAACTCGGATTGTTTACATCATTTGATTTATTCGCAGATCGTAATGCAGTTACCTGAAATTAGGAGAACAGTCTTTCTTTATATCAGTTCATTCTTGCAAGAGTTATTAAATCATGCGCAAGATAATGAGCTCGATGCTAAAACGCTCGGTAAGTTCTTATCTCATTTTAATTTACAACTAGTGTTGCACATAATGCATTTATCGATGTGCTTAATATATTAAATTTTCAGCGACGTTATTCGGATCAATATTTTTACGAGATCCGCCGAGGAGCAGAGACGATCATCATCAGAGGAGTCGCGCGACTCAAATTACATTCGATAAGAAGAAAGCTGCGTTTGTTTATCATTTCTTAGTCAATGATCAAAGTGATTTTTTTATACTTGGTCGATAATGCATAAGTGTTAACCAGAAGCAGTGTTAACGAAATATTACGAAATATAACGAGACACCAATTACATTTCTTAGAGCTTTGAAATAGAGAAAAGCTGAACACACCAAATCGGTTAGATGGCAATTACTCTTTTATAAAATATAAGGAAGTCGAATGTGTAGTTCTGTTAATTGTCCCGACCGGAGCACTATTTTGACAATTGCATATAAGTAATTAGATAGGCACATATTAGAGACAAGAATTTCGAGATTATAAGTGTATTCTTGAAAAATTATTTATTACACGCGCACGATTTTATTAGAAATTATTTTACTAATAGCCATTTTTTATGCTAATTTTTCTAATGTATAATATATATAGGGCTAATATATATATATATATATATATATATATATATATATATATATATATATATATATATATATATATATATATATATATATATAATTTTTCTAATATATATGTGCGGCTTAACAAACTTATAAAGAGCGAATTGTATAAGTTTGAAGAATCAATAATAACTGTTAGACACTTTGACACATTGCTCTTTCATCAATTTCTCCAAAATTTTCTCCAAAAATTTCTCAAAATTTTTTTCATCGAAGAATTACTGTGATAACGCAAAATAAACAAGACTATTTATGCATTTCTCGATATTTTATTTAAAAGAAAAAAAATACAAAGCAAAATATAATAAATAATACCAAGTCTTTGCTTTTTATACAAAAAATATGTGATATAGACAATATACGAATAGATCAATTGATCACTGATCTTGTAGATCGAAAAGCGATCCTGTGAATCATCAAAAGTTGTTTTATCAATAGTCTTGTAAAGCTTGCAAAGAGATCCATTAATATTAAAAACACTCGATAAAAAGAAAACTCAAAATTCGTAATAATCATATTTCTTGTATAAAAAAAGGAAGAATAAAACAAGATTAAGTTGCATTGTTTTCTTCAATGAAATTAATATCTAAGGTCGATTATTTTTGTTGCGCTCTTATCTCTATAATCGATTCATATACCGAAAGCCTTATCATTTGCAAAATTAATTAATGTAATAACATTTTATATACGTCTGAAAACTATCACGGACAGCAAAAATTAAAAATTAGTACCAGACTAAATTATACAATCAAGTTGCAACAATACATGACACGATGGTGAGAAAAATTTACATTTGGACGTGGCAAATCGATTATTCAAATGAATTGCGATCTCATCCTTTTATACATTATTAAAAAAAAAAGTATTATAAAAGCAACGACCTTATTTTTCAAACATTATAACATGTTCTACAAACTCTACAACTTACGATATTTTATATAATCCAAATATAAAGGTATACACATTCAAAATTTAAATTGATCCATCGATGGGTTCTTCAATACATCGAATTGAAGTTGATTATTATCCTCAACCTTGGGAGTAAGAGTCCCCACCTCTTCGGTATCCTAGAAAAAACAATTTTCCCTTTTATCAAATGAGAAATAGATATTGTTACTGAATTTATAATACAAATCGTACGAAATACACGAAACATAAAATCAGAATTGCAATAAATAAAATTAATTTGTACTTTGTCGATTAGAATGATTTAAGAACAAAATGGAATTCTATTATTTTATATACATTATCGTTATATAAATGTCACACAAACCTTTTCGGTGAAATATGCATCGATCAGAGCCATAGATTTCATATAAACTTGCTCATTCTCATGATGCTGAAGAGCCTCCAGCTTATCTAACGCTCCGATTTCTTCGATTAAAATGGCAAGATTGGTTTCCTCTCCCATTTTCGCCGCAGTGTGCAAGAGATTAGACAGACCATCTAAGACAACGATAACAGTATTCCAATCCTTCGAGTCCAATAAATTACAAAAATATGGCAATACACCCGCCGCCACCAATTGACTCAGATGCTGAACTGTTCCACCTGACGTTAAGTTGGTTACAGCCCATGCAGCTTCCTTTTGTGCTTTATAATCTCCCTAAGAAATATTAATAAATTTCGTGTACAATTTTTGAACCATTTGTCAAAATATGATTCTATTTTTCGTACAGGTCTAAATACTTACGAACTGAAGCACTTCTACCAATGGCGTTAATAAGTTAGCATTTATCACATGTTGAATCTGTCCCGCATTACCAGCCGTAATATTGCTGATTGCCCAAGCAGCCTCCTTCACGATGTTACTACGACTGTGTCGCAATAAAGCACCGAGGTGCGGCAATGCTCCGGCAGAAATTACAGCGTCCGTTTGAGCATCATCACCTGTCACTATATTTCCAACCGTGCGCAACGCTGGAGTGAGGACACTTGTTTGCTGTGATTTTAACAACTCCACGAGTAACGGTATGATTCCAGTGTCCAGTATCGCCTGTATCTTATCGTTGGAGCCGTCGGAAAGATAAGAGAGGGCCCAACAGGTATCAGCTGCAACATTACAAAGTAACAATAAATATTTAATCTCATTCGGAGCCAAATAAAAAGAATATAACGTTGCGTAGAATATAATGTTAAAACCGTGTCTTACCGAGTACATCTTGATCCGTATTAGTAAGCAAACGAATGAATATCGCAAGAGCAGGTTGGATCATCTCAAACGAAGGGGGTGGATTCTTATTACGGCATAAATTGGACAGAGTCCAAACAATGTTACGCAAAAATGTCACCTGTGTATTTCATTGTTATTAGAATTGATATATCAGATATACTTGTTTAATTATCAAAAGGATTTAGAGCAAAAAGATTCAACTCTATATGAAGCATCTGCGATATGAAATGCATTACATACGGAAATGTCAGGTCTAATCAGTTCGAGCAACTGAGGCATAGCTTCGTTTGTAAGAACAAAATCACGCGCAGTGGGTCCATCTCCGGCTATATTTCCCAAAGCCCATACTGCTTGTTCTGCAACATTCGATGACTCAGACTTGAGCAATCTCACTAATTTTTGTACAGCTCCACATTTTATAACGGTTTGTGTTTGCACAGAGGTACCAGAAGCTATATTAGTCAATACCCATGCCGCTTCAAACTGTAAAGGGATGCTAAATAAAAATAAAAAAAGTTATATTTTATTCACGAATACAGTTTACTTAGATGGATCAGTTATTTATATGCATACGTACTTATGATCATAATCCAACAGCTCAATGCAACACGGCACTATACCAGCCTCTATCATATCGTTTATAGGGGGATTTTTCTCTCGACTCAACAACTTTCTGCATGTCTGTGTCGCTAGCAATCGCGTCGTTTCGTCTGATGATTTAATACTCTGTATAAGTTCATCTAAAGAAAACGTAAAAGTGGTTGATTCTTCAATCTGTGGATTTGATTCTTTTTCTTCACAGTTGAGATTACGTCGTTTCGATAATTGATCATCTTTTTTAGCTTTACGCAGCTCTACCGATGCTGCATTTCTCCTTCTTCGTGCCTCCTTGAAGTGCATCAAACATATCAAATATTTCTTATATAATATACAAATAATTTATAAATATTAAATGGTTAAAATATATTATGTTACTATATAGATGCTGTAAAATTTGCAGGTTAGATTAAATTTGAGAATAATTTTATTCTTACTCACTTCATGTTTATTGTTGAACTTAAAATACGCCTTACGTGTGAGGCCCTGATCATCTGAAGGCATCTTTTAGTTGCTACCTATAAAAATTAAATGTTTAAACCCATGTATTTAGATCCATGCTTCACCATTTAACCTATGAATATTGTTGTTTTGCTTGAAAGGTCACGTAAGATGTTTTAAGCCCTATTTATAAATCACTGTTACTAACACTATACATGCATATTACAAATTGCCACATATTCTGTTAGTATTTAAGAATATTACACATGTAGATTAAAAAATAAATTAATTAAAAGTAAAATAATAAAGTGATTCACTATTACATCAATTTCTAGAATCTAAAAAACTTCCATGCAATTACCAGAGTTATAAGATTTATTAAAAATTCAAATTGAAAGTACGACACATTGGAACATACCAGAGATAAACTGTACAAATAAACTTGATGAAATGCGTTTAAGATTCACGTACTGGAACTCCCATAGATATCGAAGAAAATTGAACCAGCAAACGTTAGAATATGAAGAGATAATAACCTACTACGTCATTCAAAATTCATCTTTCGTAACGGTTACGCGCGAATGGATGACCCTTACATACATACATATATATTTATAACGAACGAATAATGGCTTTATTGAGTAAACGAATAATAACTTCGTTAAATGCGAGTAGAATTTTACCTGTCGTACGATTGCTTGTAGACGAAATAAAAAGCACTTTTTAACGTATCGTTGCTAGTCAGGCGAAGCGACAACGTCCGATCAAGATACAAGTTCTTTTGTGTATGCCCCGTCCCCGTACCTCACCATGCCTTTACACCAAACAACTCAAACGACCTGTTGCTAGCAATGCTACCAGAAACGAGCGGCGGCATCACACTAATACAACCGAGAACCGATGACGTCACCCTATCCGTGTGAGCTCGACCCGGTCGACCAA